TTCAGGGCTCGTATGCTTTTCTTTTGTTAATTTGTCATCTGCTATGGAGGCCCAGTTAAGAGCATTAAAAGAATAGAAGAAAAAAGGTATTTGTTCTCCCCATAACATCATCTACTGTTAGATGATATTAGATAATAATTAGGGATTACTATGAATTTTCTTAGCAATAATAGTGGTGTTGTTACGTACATTTTTAAATTTCTACAGTTTTCCTGGAAAAGGAATGGAATACTTAATACATGAAAATTTCTAGACCTCACCATCAGTCTTTTGTGGAAGGGCAAGCTGTGTTTCAGAGCAACCCAAAAACTGCGGTCAAGGGGCCCACCACTAGAAACCAGGAGAAAGGAGAACACAGTCACGTGTTCAGTTGGCAGGGTCTCAGTCCAGGGTCTCACCAGTTCCTGCTGGTCGCCAAGCACCCGCTCAGTTTCCTCCTCAGGCTGAAACTAAGATCACAGACCTGAAGCTGTGCATGGTCCATTATCCAAACACACCTATTTCAGGAAAGAAAACACCTGGAGGCAACTTAAGTGGGGGAATCTGCTTAATTATTAAAAATAAATATTTACATTGAAATACAGTTAATTTAGGAGCTTCCTTTACATTTTCGCACGTTGAAAAGAGTCACAATGATTTCCTTCATGTCTTCAGCAGTTGCATTGCTAAAGATCCCATCTCCATTTCACAGGAAATGGATTACATTCAATTGCTCCTCACAACGGCCGGTGGGAAGATTACTCCATTACTTTTGAAGGACTGGTTGGGTTGGCATCTGCAATGGTAGCCAAATAAATGAGATTTCTGTGTAACACATGCTGGTACCTATGGGTGAAAAACAGCAAAAATTAGTTTTGTTTTTACTGAATACGAACAGACAAATGCAAAAATTTACCTGCTCTAGTGGAATGGCTCATCCACTGACTGGATGATTCAGTGCTGTCAACCTTCTTATTTAACACATTCAAGGAAAGTATGTCCAGAATCTTACCTTTTCTCACTTATTTCCATCGCTACCTCCCTAAACCAAGGCTCTTTCACTTCTTGCTCAGACTAGGGTATTGGACCAGTCTCCTGGCGGGTCCCTCTGCTCTATCTCTCTTCTGCATGTTAGCAGCCTGAGTGATCACTGTACAATTTAAATTAAGATCATGTCTTATGCCTGCTGAATACCTTCCAAAGCTTCCCATCTCATTCTAAGTAAAGCTGAGCCCTTTTCATCACCTACAAGGCCCTACATGATTAGAGCTTCTAGTCACTTCTCTGATCTCATCTCCTACACTCTCCCTTTGGTCACTGAGTTCTGGCTACAGAAGCCTCCTTGCTGTCGCTTCAAGATATTCAGCACGCTCCAGTCTTGGGGCTTTTCTGCCTCCTGCTCTGCCTCAGAAACCTGAAGAGCTGACTCCCTTACATCAAGTTTCTCCACTCAAATGCCACATCAGAGATACTCTGTATAAAACAGCACCCTTCCACCCACTTATCCTGCCTTATTCTTATTTAAAGAGTTCTCAGCATGTGCCTAATTATATGATTTCCTTCCTCTAGATTTTAGTGTCTGGAAGGTAAGTTCCACACACCAGAGCTGCTGTTTGGGTAGATTCCTCAGTAGCTGAAACAGTGCTTAGTACTCGGTAGTAGTTAAAAAATGCCTGAGCTTAAAGCAGGGACAAAATACTTCCACAGGAGCTTCCTATAGTAGTGATTCTCTATCAGGGAGTAGAGCTCCCTACCCAAGAAGAAAAGTCAGACCAGAGGGCAGGAATCAGGGCTTGTGCAATGAGAAAAAGCCCACAAGGAGATTCTGGTAACACTCTTAACCATAAGTTGAAAATTGCTGCTCTAAGTGAAATGCTTTGCAACTATTTCCATATAGTGTTTACTACAAATTGTAAAAACTCAAATTACCAAACGCCAGAGTCGAATATAAAAACTTCCCCAAAGTGGTTATCTCTACTATTTCACTGAGCTGTTCAGTGAGGGACTGTAGGTGATCTTTAGGGGGTGGGAAAAGCATGGCTTTCTTAAACATGACTTCAGTAACAATGAAATAATGTATTTCTCTGTAAAAATTGGGGCATAATTCCTGGACCACATTTAGGAAACAAACTATTTTCTCTCATTTTGATATATGACTAGAAAGCACATTAAATTACTGTGCAGAATTTACCTGTGACTTAATTCGGAAATCTTTCATTGGTCTTTGTGTTACAAAGAAACTTACACAAAGGGAGGGAACTTAGCAACCAAATGGTCTGACTCCCGCAACTTGGAAAAAGCATGGGCCAGGGAAAAAGGGCCCGCAGGAAAGCAGCCACCAGCCTCATCTCCTCAGACTAGTTTTCCGCGGGCTTCCCTCCCCATCCCCGCTGTCATCAGCTGACATGGCTCCACGTGAAGAAGGCTTTGCAATGAGCACAATTCAACTTTTGAAGACGGTGCCACAACTGACTCCAGGCTTCAAAATGAAACGTCCCAATATACCTGTCCAATGGTCTTGGGCAGGTAAGCAGCGTCTCTGATCCTCATCTGCAAACAATCCCCCCAAACTACTAGTTCAGGACAGCCGCTGTATCTCCACATTGGCTTCCTCTCCACTCAAAAGTAAGTGGGTGGAGTTGGGGACTTACTGGACGCACTCATTCGCCCGGCCTTTGTTCTGATACTCCACGATACAGCGGATCAGCTGGTCATTCTCCTCCAGGAGCTGAAACATCAGAGAAACGATCAGTACCACACGATATCAAGACGTTAAGTAACCTGCCCAAGGTCTCACAGCCCAATGCTAGGCGGTCCAGGCCCGGTGCGTTCGCTTACTCCTACCCCTAACAGTCAAGGTACTAGACACAGTCTCAGCTGGGGCACCGCCCACTCCAGGAAGCTTCCAGGGCCCGCAGCCCTTCAGTTCACCACTAAGAAAGCCCTCCTCTTTGCATTAGCGCTCACCCGCTGGATCGTCTCCTGGTTGACTTGCGCCTTGCCTCTCAGCCAGTCTGGTACGAAGGCCACAGACATTGCGGGAGACCAGGCTGGAACCAGGGCTCAGGCCCTGTGAATCAACGCGCAGTTAGACCACAACCACCCACCACCAGCTCCAAACACCTTAAGACTGCAACAAGACCCACAATAGGTGCGGGCTTACGCTTTCTACGTTGATTGGACCCTCCCGCTTAGAAGGCGGGAACTGGCGGAACGTCGTTTGTGGTTGGGCGCGCAAGAAGGACGCGCAGCTCTTCTCTTGGGCCCCGCCCCTGGGCCCTTTGCGTTTGCGCAGTCTGGAAAGCTAAATTGGGGGCGGGGCCCGACATCAGCTCCTTGCTTTTAATCACTCTGCTTTTAATCAGACTGTGTCAGAGTACCATGCCCGGGGTCACTAGAGAATCCCGGCTGGAACCCAGATGTCTGGCTCCAAGTCCACACCTCTTTCGGCATAATTCTTGTGCCTCCAGGCTAGCGTTTGGAGCGTGAACCCTGGGCATTTCACTGTGCCAAGCCAAAACGGCAGGGCAAAACACTAGTGTGAGCTTTATTCTCTCCTGAGGGAGAAACTCACCTCAATGCCTGTTTTTCCTTTGGGCAATAATAATGCTTTATTAGGTTTACTAGGTAAAAAGCACCATTATTTTCTCCATTTTACAGATGAGAAACTGTAACTAACGTGCTGAAGTTCTCATAGCTACTCAGGGCAAAGCCAGTATGTAAACGCAGGCAGCCTGGATTCAGAATCCTCACACACTTTACCACTATTCTACACTGCCTACGCACAATTCTGTAAAAGTGGTTTGCTACAAGATACAGGGAGAAGGCTGGCCTACGCTCCCGAGCCACGTAGTTACTGTTGGCAAAAAGTAAAACTCTGAAGGGGCTGTCTTCGAGTTTGTCCAACCCATCTACAGTGGGCAGAGGAACTAGGTTGGTTTTCCCTGCAGCACAGAGTGAGCGCAGTCACATCATTTGGGTGGGAGATCCGGGAAGCCTTTGCTCCTCAAAAGAGGTCTGGGGGCAGTTCCGCCTCATAGAGCTTCATTTCCTTGAGTGAAGGCTCAGATCCAGAGCAGGCTTTTGCTGGGATTTTCCTCCACAGTCCTTTTATTCAACCTTGTGAGGAAGCAACTTTCATCCCATTTCACAGAGAGGCAAACCCTGTGAGAGAAGTGGGGCAACATGCCTAAGCTGGACCCGGACTCAGGGTTTCCTGGTTCCCAGGTCTGTACTGTTATTCCCCAAACAGGCTCCGTCCCCGTGGAAAGCTCCCAGAGCTTCTACAGAAAACAGTGAATAGAGGAGGAACCATCAGGAGCAAAGTGCAGGACAGAAGGTCCTCTCTGAAGTGCACATATATCAGTGTGTATTTAAACACGGGCTGTGTAATTGTTTGATGGATGCCCTCTGCCGACCTCTCTTAACATAGTTGTTAGTGTCAGAGTTCCTCACTACATCCACAGTCCCTGGCTGGCATAGTGCCTGGCACGCAGCAGGTGCTCAAAATTTGTTGAAAGCATAAATGGATGAACTCTGCTTCCCAATCTCCCTTCAGCTGGCCATTCCTGTGTCTCCGACCCAGACTGGGGTGTGTCCCTAGACTTTGGCACCTCATCCAGGCTGGCAGGAGGCTGTGCTCTTTGGTTTGCCTATCTCGGTCCTCCCAACCAGTGGCACGGACGTCGGAACCCACGCCCGGGGCGTGTCGCGCCTTCACGCTGAACCTCCTTGCCTCCGTGCCTGACGCACGTCAGTCCTGTCTGCTACTCCTGCAAGAATCGAGCTTAGACCGCGAAGCCTCCTCGAACCTCGCGACGTGGGAATTACAGACTTGGACCTTAAACCCACGTGGGTGAGAGCCGGGAAACGGGAAGTTGGGCGGTGCGAGTCTAGTCACGCCCCCTCCGTTTTAGGGTCGCAGCCCTTTAAGAACCACATCCTTCCAGACGCTGCCGGGCCCCTCGGAGGAGCCGCGCCAGGATTGGTCGCGTCGGGTGCGGGTGTTACTTAGCAGCAGCGAATGGAGGTTGAAAACTTGCGCACGCGCACTATCGCCTACCTGCACCCGGGCGGCCAGTGACCTGGGCCGGGTCCTCCCTGTGAGCTAAAATTGCGGAGGGGGCGGCAGGTGGCTCGGCGGAGCGGAGGGAGCCCGCTGACTGCCGGAGGCCGCTGTCGGGGCAAGGTGAGGGCTGGCGGGCGGAGGCGTCCCGTTAGCTGAGAGCAGGCGGGGTCGGGTGTGGCGCAGGGCGGGCCTAGAAGTAGAGGCGGTTCCGGGCCCGCCCCTCTCGCAGCTCAGCCTAGCCCGGTCGCGCTTCTTGGGGCTTCCGGGAATCACCGGTTTCGTTTTATCCAGCCCGCTGCTCCCCAGACTCCGGGACAATCCCAGGCGCGCACCTGCAGGAACCTCCTGCTGATGGATGCGCGTGGAGCGCTGCTTCCTGTGGGAGGAGACGGGGTGTGTCCAAAAGAGAGCGGGCGATGATTTCCTTAATTATCCACGAAGCTCACATCAGAGTATTGATTAGTTTTAATAGCAAACTTTCCTTAGCGTGCCGGTATTATGAGACTTGGTTTACCACATACTGGATGCGCTAGACCAGCTTTTCTGAGCAGCAGGTGTAGGAGGGGGTGTGTACTTTGGGTCCATTGTAAGCTGACGTCTAGACCTGCAGAGCCAGAAGGATAAAGTACTCTGGGGAAAAATCAGGGTGAAATAAATGAAAGCCACAGAAGATATTACCAGTGAAGAAAAGAATTGGTGAAATCTCTTACATGGTCAGACCGTTGGGTAGGATGAGTGTTCATTAAATTTGACAAAGAAAGGAATTAATCCTGACAAAGAATTTTAGCGAAATGAAAATGTAAATAATCGAAAACAATTTAATATTGCTAAACAGGATTAAAATGGACCTAATAGCGTTTGCTCTGGAAAACACATCTTAGATGATGATGTTATAGTGTTTATGTTTATACACAGAGGACACTTTGGGGTCCCAAAGTTTTTTATTCTTCAAAGAGCTGCAGAGGTCAACTGCCTCTGAAAGGGGACTGACAGAGGAAAACTGACTTTGTCAAAGTAATACAGTGAGTAAAGAGCACTTGTAACTGCCTCGTCTCCTAGGGTATCACATATTAACAGGTCTCTAATTAGTTTTCAGTGTCAACACCCTAAGAGAAGGCATTATTTTAGAGAAATAGAGTAGCTGTAGTACTAAGTACTGGATTTGAGAAACATTGAATAACATTATCAGTGTAAAAGTTTCTAGCACAATGCCTGGGGTATGATATTAGTTGCTATCAAGTTCAGTTCCTTAATCTTAGCTCTTAACAAATGACAGTTGACTTCTACCCTCCTCCCCAAACTATCCCCAAGCAAACTGGAAGGAGGAGCCTGTGTGGTCTGCAGGCCTTAAGTCCTGTAGCTGACGGTGAATCCGATAAGGGTTCACATTTTTCTTCTGTATTATGTTCATGAGGAGTGGGCAGTATACCTTATGGTGAAAACTTGTGTTTGAATATTTGTGTGCCAAATGAAACTTGTTTAAATTACTGTTTTGCAAGGCCTGGTCATTTAATATTGTGTTTGTCTCCCCTTTTCTTTCTCTCTTGGAGGGAGGGAGGAGGAGTGTATGGGGAAAGGATTTGGGAGAAGTTCTAAGAGTAAAGGAGAGAGGAAAAAACAATGGGAAGAAGGATGGCCTCCAGCTAGGCACAAAGTCTTTGCTGGTAGAATAGGGGTCATCTATTTCATGAGCAGTTTATAAATAGAGCTGAGAAGAGGATTTGGGAAATGGGAGGCAGATTAATATTTTAATCACACCTAGTAATACTTCGGGTGCCGTATATTTGATTACAGTTCCACTTTCTGCTTTTAAGAAATTCCATATATGTACACCTCTTTCTTTTTTTTTTGTTAGATTACTCATTCTTTTTTTTTAATATAAATTTTATTTAGTTACTTTTCAAGTACATTTTTTTTTAATCTATTTCTCCCATCCCACCCCACCCCCCTGCCCGGTCTCCCCCTTCCCTCCCATTCCCCCCCCCCAGTCCTCATCTCTGTGTCTTTCATACTTGTTCCTCAAAATCCCTCCCCCTTTTTCCCCTTAAGTTCCCTTCCCTCTCCCCTCTGGTCGCTGCCCACTTGTTCTCTATTTCAGCGTCTTTGTTTTTGTTCTGTTTGCTTGTTTGTTTTATTCTTTAGCTTCCTGTCAAAGGTGAGATCATATGGTATTTGTCCTTCAATGCCTGGCCTATTTCACTCAGCATAATGCTTTCCAGTTCCATCCATGTTGCTGCAAAAGGTAGTAGCTCCTTCTTTCTCTCTGCTGCATAGAATTCCATTGTGTATATGTACCACAATTTTTTGATCCATTCGTTTACTGATGGGCACCTAGGTTGCTTCCAATGTACACCTCTTTCTATTTTTTTTCTCCAATTAGAGATTGATTGTGGGAAAATGTTCAAAATGCAGGGTGGGCAAAAGTAGATTTACAGTTGTAACTACTAGAAATGTAGAGTTTATTCTTGGATTATTATTATATATTATTGTATAATCTTCCACATGAACAACTGTAAACCTACTTGCCCCACCCTGAATAGGTCAGAATATGGCAAGATCTGCAAACCACATTTCTTGTTTCAGTGAGAAGAAATAAGGCAGCCTCTTGGGTCATTCATTCATTGGCTTAGCAGTTTTTATTGAGGGCTTCCTAATACGTAGTAGGCATGGTGTTAGGTTCAAGGTCCACTGGCCCATCAAAGGAGCTGTTAAGACCTGGAAGACAGACCTGTGTTTCTGTGTGGCACTCTGAGGCCACTTTTGTCCTTGTGTAATTGACAATATATTTTTCTGTACTGTGGCATGATTTCCCAGACTCATGCAGTTTTCCTGTTTAAAACCAAATGCTAGTTACCTGAAAGCAGCTTTTATGTTAATGAGCCCAGAGGTAATAGTACCTTCCTGACTGAGAATGTTATGTAGTTATGCAGCTGCTCACTATAAACACACATTCCAGTGTTCATGCATAAATCATCAGAACTACAGTTAATTAGTTAATTAGTTTAAGAAAAAAGTTATTCTTCTAGTAGAGACATTGAAAAATGACATTTGAACATAAAAAGTCTGAGCATAATTTAAGTGGTATAACGGCAAGTTAATACTCTTTTTTATCAGTGTTTAAAAATACAAGTAATTTTAGTCACAAGAAGTTGGAAAGATAGAACATTTTATAAACTATAGTATAATTTCAGATCCAGGAAGTTAACATTAATATAAAGTGTGCGTAGTTATTTTTTATTGATTTTTAGAGCTAGCAAGTGTGAGAGAGAAACATGGGTTTGCTGTGTCTCTCATCTGTGCACTCATTGGTTGCTTCCTGTACGTGCTGTGCCTGAGGATCTAACAGGCGACCTTGGCATCTGTGAACAACTCTCTAACCAGACGAGTCACCCGGCCAGGGCGAGGGTGTGCATAGCTCTCTCAGATCCAAATTCCTGTGACCACCATCACAATCAAGACACAGAAGAACTATTCTGTCACCTCAGCAGTTTTCCTCTCGCTGTCCCTTTATGGTCACACCCACTCCCCACCTCCCCACCGCCCATACCCTTGGCAACCACCAATCACTGTAATTTTCTCATTTTCACAATGTTACATAAAAGAATTCATGTATATGTGACCTTTGAAATTGACTTTTTTTTTTTTACTCAACTCAGTGCTCTTGAGATCCATCGAAGTTGTTCTGTGTTCCAACAGTTTATTCTTTTATGCGGCTAAGTAGTATTACATGGTATGAATGTACTGTGCTTTGTTTAACCATTCATTATTTGTAGGACATTTTAGTTCCCAGTTTTTGGCTGTTACGAATACTTGTACACAGGTCTTTGTGTGGACATAAATTTCTATTTCTCTGGGATAAATGTCCAGGAGTGTGATTAATCATTTGGTAATTGCATGTTTAGTTTCAGAAGAAACTGTCAAACTTTTCTAGAGTGACTGTGCCACTTTCCAGTCCTACTAGAAATGTGCGAGAGATCCAGTTTCTGCATGCTTGTCAGCATTTGATAGTTATGCAGTATTTTCTTATCGCGATCTTAAGTTGCATTCCCGTTAATAGCTAGTGATGCTGAACATCTTTTCATGTGCTCATTTGCTGCCTGTGTGTCCTCTTTGGCGAAGTATTCATTCATGGACTTTGTGCATTTCTGACTGGATTGTTTTTTTGTGTGTCGAGTTTCGAGAGTTCTTTATAAATTCAGATACTGTCTAGCACGCGTGATCAGATGTATGGTTTACAGATAGTTTTCTCCCAGGCTCTGGCTTCTCTTCTCGTCCTCTTCACATGGGCCTTTGCAAAGCAAAATTCTGAATTTTGGTGACATGCAATTTGCTGATTTTTCTTTTATGGATGGTGCTTTCAGTGTCGTGTCTAAGAAGTCTTCCCCAGGTTCTGAAGATCTTCTCTTACATTTTCTTCCACTTTTGTAGTTTTGCTTTTTTATACTTAAACTTGTGACACATTTTGAGTTAATATTTATGTGATGTGTGAGGTCAGGTCAAGGTTCCTTTTTTTTTATTTGCTGTAGATATCCATTGCTCCAGCACCATTTGTTGAAAAGACTATCCTTCCTCCGATGAATTGCTTGTGCACCTTTGTCAAAAATCATTTGGCTGTGTGTGTAGGTGCATGTACTTCTGTATTTTCTATTCTGTTCCATTGATCTCTGTGTCCATTCCTCTGCCAGTACCACACAATCTTGATTACAGTAGCTATGTAATAATTTTATCTATATCCACAAACTCTCTTGTTGATATTTTTTATAAGAATTGTATTAAACCTATGTATCAATTTGGGGGAGAATTAACATCTTTGCTGGGTTGAGTTTTGCAATCCATGAACATGGTATATCTCTGTATTTAGGACTTCTCTGATTTCTTTAAGCGATGTTTTGCGGTTTTCAGCATACGAGGCCTGTGCAGGTTTTGTTAGAGTCACACCTAAGTAGTAAATCTAAAAAAAATTATACCTTTACTGATATCACTTTTTGAATGATTGTAAACGATACTTTATTTTTGTTTCTACACGTTCATCGCTAGTGTGTAAAAATACAGTTGCTTTTTGTATGTTGATTGTTGATTGTGTGTTCAATCTTGCTGAAGTCCCCAGTTTAGAGAACTTCTGTTCGTCATCCTCTCACAGCAGATGCGCTGGAAATGCCTTCTTTTAGTGTCCTTTCACCAGAGTCTATTTTAATTTTCCCTTCGCTCTTGAGAGAAATTTTTGCTGAACACATAGAGTTCTGGGCCGGCAGTTCTTTTATTTCAGCACCAGAAGAATGTGCATTCTTTTGGCTTCCACAATTTCTGTGAGAAATGTGCCATCCTGTGACCGGTGTTCCCCCAGATGTGACGTGTTATTTCTTGTCCCTCACTGTCTAGTTTCCCAAAGTTTGACTATCAGAGATGTGGGCATGGGTTTCTTTGGGTTCATCCTTCCTGGGATTTATTCTGCTTTTTGATTTTGGTGGTTTATGTCGTTTGCCAAATTCGGGAAGTTTCCAGACATTGTTTCTTTGAATACTTTTTCAGTCCCGCCTGCTTTCCCCTGTGGTGCAAGAATCCAGTGAAATGAATGTCAGATGGTTGGTTATGTCCCACGGTCTGCGAAGCTCTCTACGGTATTTCAAAATCTAAGTTCCTCTCAGATTTTTCACATTAGGAAATTTCTATGTTCTGTATTCACGTTTACAGATTCGTTCTTCCATCCCCTCCATTCTGCTGTTAAGCTCATTCACCAAATGTTTTTTCTTAATTCACTTCTATGGTGGTGTTGTTATTGGAAACTTTTACTGAGGCCCTTTCCTAAATTACTGGCTACTACCTGTGCAAAGGAATGGTTTTCATAATAACCATGCTCCTAAAAATCCCGAAGTATCCACTGGCTTGTCTACAAAAATAGCCTGTAGAACACAGCACACATGACTAGTTCCCGGTGCGCTGCAACACACCCGAACAGTACACGCGCTCTTTCTCATCTGCAGTTGTCCTCTCCCTGCCCCTCCTTATCTCTCATCATGGAACTCGAAAGGAGCACCCTAACACACCTGTCTCCCTCCTACATACAAGTTCAGTGTTTAGTCATCACTATTAATTTCTGTGTCTTACCTCCCTACGTCGCTGGCAGCCAGGACCTCACTGTTCCCACCGCTCCCAGAGACACACATGGGGACTCCATTTATTCACGGCCGCAGCCTTGGCACTTCTGTAGTGTCCAGCCTGTAACAGGCATTCAGTAATTTCTCAATATCTGTTCACTGAATTATAAAGTAATCCAACAGTTGAAAACTACATAAGCTAGTAATGACTCATGAAAACTATTAGCATTAAAATGCTTCTAGTTCCATGTACCAGTCAGGTTCTTTAAACTGGTGGTGTGGTTCGCAGCGTCTGTTCTCTTGCTACCGCCATGGGGTCTCCTCTTCCCTTTGCGGCTTCCCCTGTAGTTTTCCCGTCCCCAGCTTCCTCTGCCACCCTAACCAGGACGGTGACTTCTTCTGGAATGCTGCACCTCTGCAGAGGCAGAGGACCTTCAGCCGAGAGATGAAGCCAAACCGCTGTCTTCTCTCTCTAACCACTGCGACAAAACCCCCACAAAATGGCAGCGTGTTTTTTTAAATTCTAAAACTTCTGTTTGGTTCTTTATATTTTCTATTTCTTTTCATTTTTTATTGGTTTCAAGTGTGTTTATTACCGCTTATTGAAGTATTTTTGTGATGGGTGCTTTAAAGCCCCAGATAACGCTGTCATCTGGGTCACATTGGTGTCGGCACCAGTTGGTTGTCTCTTCTTATTCAAGTTGAGATTTCCTATCGAAATATGGACATTTTGGGCATTGTGTTATGAGACTCTTGATCTTATTTAAATCTCCTATTATTTTTTAAAGATGTTATGTATTTATTTTTAGAGAGAGGGGAGGGGAGGGAGAAAGAGAGGGAAAGAAACATTGATAATATGGTTGCCTCTCACGTGTCCCCACCTGGGGACCCATCCTGCAACCCAGGCATGTGCCCTGGCTGGGAATTCAACCAGCGACCCTTTGATTTGCAGGCCAGTAGTCAATCCACCAAGCCACAACATCCAGGGCAGTAGGATTGCCTCTTGTACACGCCTTGACCAGGGACTGAACCCACACCCCCCGGGCATGTGCCCTGACCAGGGATCAAACCAGCGACCCTTTGCTATGTGAGATGATGCCCAACTGACTGAGCCAGGCCGGTAAGGACTGAAAACCAGTTTTTATTTATTTCAAATTCTGTTGTTTGAGGAGAAGCAGGTTCGATCACCAAAGGATAAAATGGGAGAAGTAGAGGCTGGGTAGACTTCTCGGTTCTCTAGAGAGTGGTGGAGCTGCTTTTTATGATTACTCTCCCTTGGGAAGGAGACTTTCCCTTTCATTGGCTCAACGAGATACGTGGCATGTTGTTGATGCCCCACAAAGATAGCACCGGAGAGGATATTCTGGGGTTGACAGTTGGAGTAAATGCATATCGTTTTCCCTTGGGAGAACTTACAGTTTACTCAGCTTCCAAAACTCTTTCTTCTTTTGCCTTGGTGTGTTTCTGTCCTGTCTCTCATCTTGGCATCTCATCATTCGTTGTATTTGTTTTTAAAGCAAGCACTGTTCTTAGACACATCTTTATTATAAGTGTTCTTGAACACTTCCCTGCTTGCATTGCGGAATGGCTCTTACTGATGAACACTGTTCTCAAGGTAGTAGGCAAGTTGAAGTTCTGGTTTAGACCCTAAACCCTAGTCTCAGGCTGACCTTGTAGTCTCCCCCATCTCTTTCAGGGTTTTGTGCATTATAACTTGAAAATTTTTTTTCTAAGTGAAATATTTCAAACATTCACAGAAGTAGAGAGGATAATGTCATTAACCTCCATCCATCTATCCCCTGATGCTCTTTCTGATCCTTGAGGTCTCAGCGCTGGCCAGGCAGCAGGGGGATAGACCGCAGACTCATCTAGCAGTTGGGCTGGCCCTGCTGATGGTGGGGGGACAGTGGTGTGGGGACAGTGGTGTGGGTGTATGTTGCTGGGGAGTCTCACGTGTTTCCTCCTCAGTGTTGGGGGATAAGACAAATGGACTGTGTAGGATCTGTTGGCTGGTAGATTTTTCTTTTTCCCCTCCGTGTTTTTATACCAAGGCAGCTTCTACATATGTAAAATGGGGATATCATTCATTCATCCATTCCCAATGTGGTCTTTATTGTTAGAACTTACTTACACTTAGGTGGTGGAAATGGCCAATCAGTAAACTAGAGAAGAAGAGGAGGGAGAGGTCCTTCCAGCTGGGCAGGTCTGGGACGGCCTCATGGTGAGGGTGGACTGGAGACAGGCCTCGATGTGGCCTCGGATGTGGGGAGACTAGAAGAGTGGCAGGGTGTAGGCAAAGAATGCACAGAGGTGACGAGAGCAGGGTGCATCCTGAGGGCTCCCCTTTCCTCCGGCTCACGGGAACTGAGATGTGAACTGAGGTTACACCCACAGAGTCCTCTGGAGGGAAAGCCCACCAGCATAGGAGCCCATCAGCATCCCGTCCAGTAGAGGAGCTGGTGAACAGGATCTGTGAGGCGGGATGTGTGGTGCGCGGGCAGACCCGCCAAAGCTCTAATGGCCAGCTCACTAATCCCTGCTTGCAGGGCGGCCATGTGCGCACGTGGTGTCTCGCCCTGTGCAAGCACCTGCAGAGTTAACAGCTGGGGCTACAGCCCAGCTGGGCTCTGCTGGCAGAACTGGTCCAGGCTGCTTCTACACAGAGGAGTACCTTGTTCTGGTTTGCCAAAGGCACATGAGGGCTCTGAATCTGTTTCCCTTTGTTTCTTAATGGTGCTCACATATCAGGGCCAAATATTTAGTATCTTTCCGTCATTTAATCTGCCAAATTACTTTAACCATCTGTAGGAGCTCAGTCATCATTTTGAAGACTGGCTTTGTATCAGAAATTTGCAGAAATTCAGGAGGACACACTATACTCTCTCAGTTCCATTTTGCCCTCTGCTGTCCTTGCTACCTTCCTGCTTTAGGTTAGGTGCTCAGAATCCCTCCTCTGGGGTGAGGGTATGGCAGCTAAACTGCTCAGCACCTGCCTCCCTGGGTGACCTGAAACGCACAGGTCACTGGACTCCATTCCTGCTGCTTCAGCGTCAGCTACGCCCTGGCCCTTTGGGGTCATCTTGCTGCCCGTTCCCTGCTGCCCACCATCATGGCTGTTGCTCCTGAGCCCTCCGGCCCTGCTCCCTGGCTTCTCCCTTCCTTTCTGCCTCATCCTGGTTGGTCGAAGTCCGGAAAGGAGGACTGCAAGCGCAGAAGAGACAGAAGGGTTAATGAAGGGGAAGGTTGGGAGTGGCATAGCCATAGAGGGCAGGGAAATGACAGTAGAAGCAACATTTGCAGTTACAGTGGGGGTGAGGGTGAAACCGCGTGTTTTGAGGGCAGGGTGTCTCTGGCACCGTCACCCGGTCCTTAGTAACAAGGTGACCTTGCTTCCCTCAGGTGTCCTCATGACTTCTCTTGTGGACCATGTCCATGATCCTCTTTGCCTGCGTGGTAAGGGTGAGGGATGGACTGCCCCTCTCGGCCTCCACTGACTTTTACCACACCCAGGAGTTCCTGGAATCCAGGAGACGGCTCAAGACTTTGGCCTTGCGGCTGGCCCAGTACCCAGGCCGAGGTTCTGCGCAAGGACGTGACTTCAGCATACAGTAAGCAAGCATGCTCACTTTTCCAGAACATCAGCCAAGTCCAGGGTACTTCTAACCGTATGTTGAGGTAACATTACGCTCATCACATGGTGCGTTGAAAGTAGGCCTGAGGTCAGTCCGTGGTTGGAGGCCATGTGTCTTTACAGCAGAGTCGAGGGGACTCGCAGCGTAGCTGCTCCCGCTGCTGCCTGTGTTGGTGGCACATCTGTGAGCGTTGCATCGGGAGACCCAGCTTTGACCAGCTTTCGTGCCTTTGGTTTTTCTGCACTAGGTGCAGCGGTGGAAAAAAGGTGCGGGGCGGGGGGTGGCGGGGAGGAAAAGGAGAGGGAGAAATCTATGAAAATAAAAAAAGACTTACAGTTCTTGCCTTCAGGTTTTGCTTTAATTTTTTTTCCACTTAAATAAATTATATTACAAAATTTTAATTACATGTCAGGAGCAGGGCCATGAAAAATGAGCACACGTAGGTTCCTCTTCTCAAGGAACTTGAAAGTCGAATGAAGGAACAGGAGACACAGAACTAAATACGATGGAGTGGGAAGTGCCCCAGTGGAAGCAGGAATCGGGGGTCACAGCCATCGCAGTGATAACCGCCAGTATCATTGAGTGTTTTCTCTGGGCCAGGCACTAGTATTATGAGTGCTTTCTGGGGCTTACGAGGTCGCCAGTAGAGACACAGCGGTTTTGCAGAGGAGGACGGAGGTCAAGTGGCTTGCCTAAGGGTTACGCTGTTAGGAAGTGGCAGCACCAGCATTTGAGTGCCAGCAACTGGGCGCCAAGGCCCGATCCTCCTTTGTGTGTGTTCTCCTTTCTTATTCCAGGGCTTAGAGCACAAAGCCATTCTACGGAGGTATCCGGGCAAGGCAGGTTTTAAAATATCAAAGTGGCTTAGTCACGGATTTTACCTCATTGTTTTCTAGCATGTAGCCTTCTTCACTTACCAAGTCCCTTTTGCTCCCCTTAAGTAGTAAGTGTTTGGTTTACCTGGTAAGGTGGGATCCTTTTAGGGCAACTCAGTCTCCTAATCAGAAAAACAAAAGGGAAAGCCCAGGCCTGACTCCAGGCTCCGTGGCTGAGTCAGGTGAGAAGGGACGGTCCGGGAGGGGGTGCCAGACAGCAGGCTCATGCAGCTGTCACCCTGCGGCGTGGGCTGTGGGTGCCCAGGAGCAAACTCTGGGCTGCGTCGGCCGGCGTTGGTGACCCCTTTCTCTGGGTGCCGGCCACCGTCTTCGTGATGGATGCAGTGATAACCCAGCATTCCTGGGAACTGTGTGCGGAACCTCAAGTGGGAAAACTCTTCTCAGTTAAGAAAAAAAAGCCTGTGACTTCAAATGAAATTCTGGGGACTTCAGGTTTTTTTAAAAATGGAGTATAAAATGTTCTACTCATTCTTATTTTGGATTTAGTTTCGCCATTTTCACAGAGCAAACAGACTTGTTTCCGTACAGGTGAGCCGTGCCATAAGCTCATTTTGTGGTTTAAGGAACTGAACTGTTTTCCAGGGGCTGCCATGTCAGGTCACCATAAACTGCCCTGAGACAACAGCAATCGATTCTCACGTTCTGGAGGCGGAATCTGAAATCAGCGTGCCAGCTGGGCCGTGCTCTCTCTGCCACCTGGTGGCGGCTGCCAGCAGTCCCTGTCATTCTGAGTCTTACCGAATCATTACTCCAGTCGCTGCCCCCTTGGTTAGGTGGGCTGCTTCCTTCTGCCTCCGTGGCCAACCTTCACACCAGTCACTGGTCGGAGGCCCACCCTGATCCATTATGGCCTCATTGTATCTTGAGTCCATCTGCAAAGACTGTTTCCAAATAAGGTTACATTCACTGGTGCTAGGAGTCAGGACTTCAGCTATCTTTTTGGAGGACACAGTTCAGCCCACAAGTAGGGGGTCATCTTTCCAATAGAAACACCTCTCTCCTAGAGAGACTTAGGCCCTGCCGGGCACTTCCTTATAGAAGGAGGAGGTCATCCTTTTTTAAAAAGCAAAAACATGTTTTGTATAGAGACTTACAAAAAGGTGGTAGATCAGTATAACCTAAAATCCCTCCTGCCAGAAATACCCAGAAATGTGTGTAAATATTTATGAAAGTTTTTAAAAAATGTGAAGCTGAGCTTGAAAGAAAGAAATCTCAAAGTTCCAAAAATGAGGTGGGAACAGAATGTCAAGGGTGGTAAGTTTGTGAGCTGTGTCGCAGTGAACTCGGGGTTTGCATGTCAGCACCCGTGAAGGGAGAGGCCTTCGAGCTCATGTGGAGTGAGGTGTGGGAGCAAGACCCAAGCAGCAAGGTAGGGCTCTCCTCAGGCTACAGCCCCGGGGCCATGGTAGGTGAGAAATAGCCAGCCCACCAGTACCAGGGAACACATCTCTGTTTGGCTTTGAAAGGGAAGGGCAAATAAAATCTCACCAAAGAAGCTGAAACCCTGCTGCCGTGCCTGGTGTCGGATTGGAGTTTGAGCGTGTACTCTGTGCTCCCCGTGGCCCAGGAACCCCAAGCCCAGGGTCACACGTCAGTGTTGGCTCCAGACTGCTGGTGCTGGCGGAGTCACAAGCCAAGGCACATGCGGAAGCCTTGCAAGAAGTGTGCCCGACGTCAGGCCTCGAGGGAGAGAACAGGCTGCACAGGGACCCTCAGCACAGATGACAGAACCCTGGAGGAGACAGTCCACAATGAGTGGCAGTCAGTGGGCACCACAGGCAGGGGGACCGGAGCCCCCAGCACTTGAAGTGGCGGCGTGGCAGTCTGAAAGGAGTAAGCTTCGTTTCAGGACGCCGGTGTGATTTAACGTCAGAAAATCTTTTGGCGTAGATGGGAAAAGAAAAACATTTTCCTCTGGGAGGCAGGGACGTCTGAGGCTGCTCGCCTCTAATGGACCATGCGTCCTGTTGCGTGAATGAGTAGGTGATCGCACATGGGCAATGGCAAGTCCCGCTGTGTGTTTTGGAGGAAGTGTGAGGAAGGCAGCATCCCAGGCATGGACCTGACCGTGGTCAGGTCTGTCTGGGACACAGCGTGTACAGCAAACAGCTCCAGGGCTGTTCCAGGCCGAGCGAGTCTTGAGAGCCGAGGCGATGCTGTGTCTGGGTGTGGGATGGGACCCGTGGGCCTGTCTCTGGTAATGCAGATGTCGCCCTCTTGTTGCAGCTTTTCTTCGTCAGGGGATGTGGCCTGCATGGCGATCTGTTCCCGCCAGTGTCCCGCAGCCATGGCCTTCTGCTTCCTGGAGACCTTGTGGTGGGAGTTCACAGCTTCCTGCGACGCCACGCGGGTCGGCCTCGCCTCCAGGCCGTACACCTTCCTCGAATTCGGTTCGTAACCCTCTTTTGCTTCGCTGTTGGCATGTGTAGCTCGGTAGCTTAGCCTTCACTTTGACTGTCAAGGAAAGTCATTGGAGGTGCAGTCAAGTACCCCTGGGGAGCAGCCGTGTGTCATGAGATTTCACAGCGGCGCAAGAGGCCTGGCAGCCTCAAGGTCTAACACTCTGGTCTGTCGTCCCTCCAGAGCCTGGGGGCAGGGCAGAGGCACGGGGAACCTGTGTGCCACAGCCCTTGGGAGCAGGGGCCAGCAGGCTGGGGTTACACTTGATATGTAACTAGCGGCCGAGTTCTTCTCCCCCCTCATCTCTGCATGTGCCTTCCCTCTAAAGCGGTGTGCTTGATCTGATAGACCGTTTGAGCATCATGTTTGCCTGTGACTGGTTCAGAGTGGAGTATGAGCCCTGGTGGTGTGGCCCAGTGGACTGAGCACCAGCCTGTAAACAAGGGTCTCTGGTTGGATCCCCGGTCAGGGCCCACGCCCGGGTTGCAGGCCAGGTCCCCATTAGGGGCGTGTGAGAGGCAGCCACCCATGGATGTTTCTCTCCCTCTCTTTTTTCCCCTCTCCTCCCCTCTCTAAAAATAAATTTAAAAAACCTTTTTTTGAAAAAAAAAGTGGAATATGAGGAAATGTACCCTGGTATTAGAATTATGTATGAAACTTTGCTTCAGATACTTATTAGTACTTGGCATAAATTGATACTAGCATAAATAAAAGAATTAATACTAATACTTTTCAACGATATAATCCCAGTTCGCACAACATATTCGTGTTGATTGGTAATTTTATGCTACTTGAGAAAATCCGGTCCAGAGTACCTGTCCTGTCCCATTTTCTAAGATAAGAAAAAATACTCTGTGAGTTGCTTGGGACTATACTCTCGCAAGTGGCTAAGCTGAGAATCGAGTCCTGGTCCCCCGACTCCCTCGTTGCTGAGGTCCAGGAACAGGTTGCTGCCTTCTCTGTGGATGGCCTGTCGCATCTTATCTGCTCTCTTGGGACAGATTGGTGAGGCTGGTAATGACATGTAGTCATCAGTCGACCTTCAGGTATAGCCTGACACTCCTGACTTCGTTCGCTTGGAAATGTGGAGTTCATTTTGCACATACTGTCTTACAACATCCGTTGTGATGAAATGCCCACTTGGGCTGCTCTCTCTTTGCAGACAGCGTCATTCAGAAAGTGAAGTGGCATTTTAACTGTGCGAGCTCCACTCAGATGAGGAGCAGCTTAGAAAAGGTTCAGGAGGAGCTGGAGTTCCAGCCGCCGACAGTCCTCACCCTGGAGGACACGGACGCGGCCAACGGGGTGATGAACGGTCACGCACAGATGTGTTCGGAGCCTGGTGAGTGGCCTGCTGTTCTCTGACGCCAATGAAGATGAGGGGACGTTATGTATTTCAAAGGGACATTGGTTTCTTTTATTAGGAGGGTGGGTTTTTTTTGCGGGGGGCGTGTATAAGATATGTGGGGAGAAATATGGACTGATGTTGTGTCCAGGCAGCTGTGATAAAAAACTTGACCATTATGACAGTGAATTGGTCTGAGGGGAGGTGACTCTTATAATGAAATTCAGGAGAAGAGTGACCTGGAAGATTGTTTTCTTAACCAGGGGGAGGTCTAGAGGTTTACATGTAAAGGATATTCATTCTGTTTTGTTGGAAGCCCTTGCACGGATTTGTACATCGTCTTTATCTCTCTGCTTTCTCTCTGTCTCTTCTCCTCGGACAGTGAACCCTTATCTCACCACTTACTGACACACTGCAAATCTCCCTTGAGAGCCCCCTGCCCTCCTTGATGGAGGGAGGGGAGAGCTATGGGGACGAGTGTGGGTAGGGCCAGAGCCAGGGCCTCCAGTACTGTCACCTGGCTCTCTCTGAGGCCTGGCGACATCCCTCCACCCCAGCGGGCAGCCAGTCCCTATCTGGAGAGTGAGGTGTTCGTGAGTGTGACCGCAACACCCCGGCATTCTGTGCCTTAGTCTGGCGTTGGCCACGCAGGTCTAGCATGTGACGAAGCCTGGTTGTTGTTGGCACTTCTTGTTTACAATTACAATTAACCCAATTTTAATCGAAGTGGGTATTTACACTGTTAGAATTTTGTGGTGGTGTAGAGCTGAATTTTGCTGTGCAACAAAGAGGTGTATACTATAACAACCTAATTATTTTAATTCTTTCATACTAAACTGCTTAAATGTTCAAAATTCTATATGTCATGCTTTTGGCTTAACTTTGTGTTTTAATTTAATGTTTCAACCAATAAATTCCTGGATGGGCTCTCACGCCAATCAGTAAGTTGTAGTTTATGTCGGGAATGAACCTGACTTTTGCAGAAGGGAAAGGCCGGGCAGTCGGACCCTGTGCTTCTCCTTCGCTGCATCTGAAGACGGGGTAACTTTGTGTGTTCTGTTTTCACTCGCCCAGACGAGAGGAGCAAATCCGGAAAGTGTCACCTGGCCTACCTTTCTAGGACATTTTCCTCTGGTTTGACTCACCCTATTGTCCCGAGGCTAGAGTCGTTACAGGTAGCATGTTCTTTCTAACAGGAACTTGAACTTGTTCAGTGGAAACTCTAACACACTAACAATAGGCACCAGTGGGGTTGTGGCTAGATATTTGTGTGTATGCGTGTGTGTACGTGTGTGGGGGGAAACGTAAGGACAAGAAAGGATGATTTAGAAAGAGCAGAGCTCGAGAATGGGCGGGACACCCTTTAATTTTGTGAGCCTGAGTCGACTCCAGCAGTTACCTTGAAGGAGAGAATGATCATTTGTTCCTTTTAGAGTTCCAGAAACAGCTTGTGGCTTAAATAATCAATGTTTCCCTCCTCTTCCCAATTGTGTTAGAATTATAAAAATTACACTTGCAGGAATTACTGTGAAAGCATGCTGACACTGCATATCGTCCTTGTCACAGAAAGAGGGGAGCGCTGTACAGGCTGAGGGCTGATGTGTGTGATGGACATGCTTCCGGAAATTGATGACTGATTTACACAGAAGGCCATAGCTTGCTCTAAATTGGGATTTCTCGAGCCCAGTCACATTTTGTGCTGGATGGATAACTTTTTGTTGTGAGGGCTGTCTTGTGCAAGGTAGGATGTTTAGAAGCCTTCATGGCCTCTCACCCAGCAGGTGCCAGTCACACCCTGTCCCCCCATCGTGACAACCCAGAATGTCTCGGGACATTGCCACACATCCATTGAGGGCTGTACTGCCCCTGGCTGAGAACCATTGCTCTAAACAGAAGGGAAATTAAACGCTGGAAAACCTGTGCTTGCTAGACAAGGGCCTCTTTCTGGAAGGAACGTACCTTGGGTTCCCAGATCCGTTCTGTCCTTCATTTCTTGCCTTTCCCCCTGTAACGACAGCTGTTTTTTAAATTAACATGTGTGTTTAGCAAAACCTGTCATCGCTGCAGGTCTAGTTAATGTCTTTGTTTATTTTTCTTTCACATAGAAATTATTTTCACTAGACACCTTTTTTTTCTCACTGTGAAGCTCCAAATTTCCGAATGGAACCCGTGACGGCCCTGGGCGTCCTCTCCCTGGTCCTCAACATCATGTGCGCCGCTCTGAACCTCGTGCGCGGAGTCCACCTGGCGGAACACTCTCTGCAGGTAGCCTTTTCTTCACACTTCGAAGTGAAGGGCGTGGCGGGGGAACTGACGGGGACACGTTTTATTCATGAGATGATTATGCACAAAGTTTTAAAAATTCAAATAAAAATTTCATTTCTGATTTTATTCTTTGTAGTAAGTTGAACAAATGTGAAATGTGTGCTTTTGTATTTGTTTTTCTAAGGAGCCAAGGGGCCCCCAGGATGCAGGTGAGAGACGGACAGCTCGGTACAAGGAAGCCTGGCCGCCCCTGGGCCCGTGGGGCCCTAGGGGTCGCTGCAGGGGCCGGGTCGTTCACTCAGGGCAAAAGTCCGGGCTCTTTGTCCCTGGCGAAAAGTTGTCTCAGGGTCTGATTTATAGGATGCAGATACCAATTCTGTGTGTGCTTGTCAAAAACGTCGCTAGGAAGTTGTCTTTCCAGCCTCCTCCTCTGAAACCACTTTTTTATATCACCGTTTTGAAATACTGTTTTCTTCATTTTGAAGTGTTTCAAACACTTTAAAAAAGTATGAGCCTCAACAGATAGATTACTTTTAAAGATAGAGCCATGCAGGCTCGTGGATTGAGTGCCAGCCTGTGAACCAGATGGTCACTGGTTTGATGCCCAATCAGGGCACATGCTTGGGTTGCAGGCCAGGTCCCCAGTAGGGGGCATGTGAGAGGCAACCACACATTGATGTTTCTCTCCCTCTCTGTCTCCCGCCTTTCCCCTCTGTAAAAAGAAATAAAATGAAATCTTAAAAGTAAATGAATAAAGGTAGAGCCAGGGTGCTCATCCATGCCCCGGTAGTTCACGTCTGAAGTGTGGCGGTGTCGGCCTTGGGGCACTGGCAGCCGGCCTGAGCCATGGGAACGGTGACTGCCCGTCCCACTCCCCGTCCTTGCCCACGTGTGGCATGGTTCCCACTCCAGTTTGTGATGACTCACAACCTGTTCGTTACCAATGTCTCACACACTAGAACCATTCCCGGCCAGCAAGATAGTTAAGACATAGTTCCTGCCTTGGGGACACGAAGCAGAATATGGTGACGTAATTAAGGAGGTGGCAGTGCCTGGGAATGGGAGGAAGTAGGGAAAACCTGGTGTTGACAGATAAGTAAGATTTTGAGAGGCGGTGGGGTTTGGGGGGTGCGTTTCAGGTCAAGGGCTGAGCACAGACGTGTGGGGACATGAGGGTGCATGGTGCATCCGGGTCACTGAAATCCATGGCCTGTCAGCCCCTGTTCTGAGACCTAACCAGGGACGTGTGTCTCCCCCAGGCAGGACCGTGTGCTGTCAGCCACTCCGGCAAGGCGGGGAGTGACGCGCTTCATGTCACGCAGTGTCTCATCTACATACTCCTGTTCTGTGTTCCTGTTTGTTCTAGGTCGCTCACCAGGAGATTGGAAACATTCTGGCTTTTCTTATTCCTTTTGTAGCCTGCATTTTCCAGGTGGGTGAAGTGTTGGTATTTGGGGGCATGGGGTAAACCCATGGCCTTATTTAGTTCTTCTGTGGGAAAACCATCAACAAGTTTCCTAGGTTCTGTTTTTGTTCCACCAAGGCCTTGGATCAAATCACAGACAGTGCCAGGCTCCGTGGAAGGACCTAGGCCCACCCGGCCCAGTCCTGCCCAGTCCTCTCATCTAACAGAAAAAGGGCTTTGGGCTCAGCAAGGAAAAGCCAGTTGTTCTGGGCCACAGGGCCTTTCAGAGTGGCAGACAGAATCCAGGGATTTGGACTTGACCCCCAGAAAGGGAGGGATGAGATTGCAGTGGGGATTGGGTTGGGTCTGACCAGAACGAGGCAGGGTCTTGCCTCCTGCTTCGTGGTGGACGATCCAAGTACAGGAGTGTCCTTCTGCGGCCCTGGCTGCCGTGGCTCAGTTGGTTGGAGCCTTGTCCCATAGACCGAATGATCAAGAGTTTGATTCCTGATCAGGGCGTGCACCCAGGTTGCAAGTTCAATTCCCAGTCGGGACACGTGTAACAAGGCAACCAATTGATGTTTCTCTTTCACAGTGATGTTTCTTTTCCTTTCTGTCTCTCTTGCCCCCCCACCTCCTTCTCTCTCTAATGATGGAAAATGTCCTTGGGTGAGGATAAAAAAAAGAAACGTCCTTCTACAGAAGTCATGTCTTTGTATGCATATGTGTTTTTAAAATGCAGGACTAAGCAAAAAAAATTTTTCTGTTGTTTCTTTAAGATTTTATTTATTCTTAGAGACAGAGAAAGGGAGAGAGAAAGAGAGGGAGAGAAACATCAATCAGTTGCCTCTTGTACACGCCCCAACTGAGGACCGAACCCGCAAGCCAGGACGATGCCCAACCAACGGAACTCCCTTGGTCAGGGTCTGGTTTTAATAGTAATGCTACCTGACTCAACTCTGTCCTCGGGAAACGAAACAAAAATTGTAATGTTGACTAGAGAGCTTTGCATATTTAGTTATTTTTGGACAAGCTGCATATGTGAGGTGGAGTGAAGAGTTTTGAATCTCCTATAGGCAGAGTTAATTCTAGTAAAAGCCTGACTGTAATTCTCTCTCCTTGTCCGCCACTGGGCTAGGATTTTAGCACTTTCTCTTCATGCTTAAGTTAAAAAAATTTTTTTAATTAATATTTTTGTTCTTAGGGTACTTCCTCTCTCACATACATCCTAAAATGATTTGTTTTTAAGAATTAGATGATTGTAGCCCTGGCTGGCATAGCTCAGTGGATTGAGCATGGTCCTGTGAAGCAAAGGGTCGCTAGTTCGATTCCCAGTCAGGGCACATGCCTGGGTTGCAGGCCAGGTCCCCAGTGGGGGACACATGAGAGACAACCACACACTAATGTTTCTCTCCCTCTTTCTCCTTTCCTTCCCCTCTCTCTAAAAAATAAACAAATAAATAAAATATAAAAAAAAAAGAATCAGATGATTGTGTAAAAAAGACATTTCGACCCCCAAATTGAAAATGGACTCACATTGTAGAAACGAATCTCTGGAGCCTTGGGCGTTGCCAGTGGGAGGCTCCAGCAGCGGCAGCTGCGTTGCAGGGGACCTCCTGCCCCCTGCCCGCCCTCAGCTGCGTGCTCCCGTGTCAGCTCTTTCAGTGGCGGTCACACTCCTCCCTGTGCAGCAGAGCCATCGTCAGGTTGCTCTGTTTTGAGAATGTGCTTTTAAAACAAAACAAACAAACGACCAAAAACAGAGAACCGAAAACCTGTTTTTACCTTTTGCAGAACAAGGATGGCCTCTTTTCCACATGGTAGCCCTACAGGAAGTATCAGTCACCGTCCCTTTCTCGGGCTCAGCTCCGGAGTGCAAGGGGAGGGCACTCAGGAACCGTAGTCCCCCGTGTGGTTGTGGCTCCGGAAAGCCGAAGGACTGAGGGCGCGGCTCCTCTCCCTGGCGGCCTGCCTTACTGGGAGGCCTGCCCTGACCCCTGACTTACTGGGGGGCCAGTCGGTCTTGCCAGGGCGCCCTGGCCTCACCACCTGCCCCCTACGCCCACCTGTCCTTTCTCTACAGCGTGCAGCCCGGGCACTGCTGTCTGTAGGTCCTAAACTTCCTTCAGGAGTGTAATGTTCTAATTCCTCCTGTGATGTCTGTTCCCGTCTCTTCTCTCTTCCGAACTTCACTTTCATCTGGTGGTTAACAGGAACTCACCCGGAGAGCCCCGGCCTCACGGTAATAAGCTAGTGCAGGCGCATCTGACCTGTGGCCGGTCTGCCGCCTCTGATGGGACTCCCCCCCTGCTGTCATTGCAGTGCTATCTGTACCTGTTCTACAGCCCAGCCCGGAGGGCGAAGGTGGCGCTGATGCTGCTCTTCATCTGCCTGGGCAACATGTACCTGCACGGGCTGCGGAACCTCTGGCAGATCCTTTTCCACGTCGGAGTGGCCTTTCTGTCTTCACACCAGATACTGACGAGGCAGCTGCGGGACAAGCAGTTGGACTGTGGGGTGTGAGGCGTGGATCCTTCGACTGTCGCGTGAGGGTCACCTGTGTTTCCCTTTCGGCTTCTCAACTTGACCTCAGGTTTCCATCCTCGGAGTTCATTTTGACCAAACTGGACTGACGGCGAGACTTGGGGCGTCTGCAGGTGCAGCTGGAGGTGTGAGGTCGTGCAGCGCCCAGGCCGGGCGTCATGCTGGGCGCCACCGCAGGCTCTCCGTTCGGCAGGCTTTACTCGGACAGCGGGTGCAGGGGCTCAGTTCAGGGAGCGTTACTGGAAGGTCAGAATGGGATTGTTTCAGTCTTTTAAATTGAATGATGCAATAAACCACTAGATTCAATGATACTAGTGTTAGTAATTGGCAGTTCTCTCTGCGGAACCATACGAGTTAAAATGTGACTTGGTTAGTTTTTCAGAGGGTCGATACAGGGTGAATTAAAAACTTAAAAATATGGTTCATGGATATCAGCAAGATAAATTTTGTTTACAACTTTTTGATAACATAGGTCCAATATAATACCTTTAGAATAGTTCAATATATTTTAAGTATAAACTGAACTTGTCTTTGTTTAGGGTAAAGATGGACATAAGCTGATAAAATGGTTAAGAAAGCTCAATTTACTTAATTTATATGTAACCTTTTATAGTGGTGGGACTGTGGGTACGGAAATGTTTCGTATTTATCTACAGGGTATATCTGAATATTTTACAAGTTAATTGAGCAACCAGTGCTGCTGGATTGTGCACTGATAAGCATGAGCAGAAATGAGCACTTTGGGACTCCTCGCAGGGGTCACAAACTGGAGCAGGTGAGCCACACGGCCTCACATGGTGGAACTTTACAGATGGCAGAGGGTGGTGTCATCAGCCTTGCACATGGTGGCCGAGTGCCTGCCATTTCAGCGATGATGATGAATGCTCAGCCCTGTGTCCCAGAAGACCCCCTAGTTGAACTGCCCCTCTACCCTTTTCCCAGTCCTCTGAATTAGAACGAGGGCCTCAGTTTTTGTGAACAAGAGTTAAAAGTAGGTGTTAACTTTTTAAAGGCTTTATAAATACAGAATTAACCCTGTGCTCTGAGAAGTTACTTTTCTTTCTGTCATTGTCAAAGTATGGATTGACCGTCGTTGTCCAGAACGTGGCTGTGACTCAGACCCCTTAGGTTATCCAGTACCATTTGGGGGCCGGTTCGGGTTCTTGCCCTCGGACCGCTCTTGGTGGAAGTCTGGGGTCTGAATAGCTCAGCCGCAGTGGCATGGAGTGCTCCAGGTTGAATTATGTAGTCTTGGTAAATTAAAAAGTGCTATTTTGATAGTGTGTGAAGGTTCTAGACCATTGCAGGAGACACTGAGCACAGGGGGAGGGCAAGACTGCTGTTTCGGGGCATGCAGTTGGGCTTAGCTATCACTGGTGGTCATTGTGACCGAGCTGCCTTGCTGTCTCTTTAAGAAAAACAAGTTCATGTGACTGGGAACTGTTGGGGAAATGTCGCCAGAGTAATTTTATTTTCCTGTAATGTTTTATTTTTAATCAAATGAAACATCTGGATCTGAACGTTCCATTGGCAACACCCTCAGAAGGAAGCTTCACAGTTGTGTCTCCATTGAGTGTGGATCTGTGTGATTTTCTGCACAGCCAGCCAGTGAAATGTTCAGGCCTTCTGGGAGATAACTTTGAAGAGACGGTAAAATAGAGTGGGAAGCCCAGGAGGCGAGACGCGCCCTTTTATGGCAGAAGCACAAAAAAAGCTGTAAAAGTTGGTCAGGACAGCTTACAGACGACTTGCTTTCTGTTCGAGCCCGTGTGCCGTCGGTGTTGCTGAGTGGCCCTGGACCTCAGCTGCTCTGGGTGCCCGGGCCTGTGGCCCACATTCAGTAGGCAGTCCAGGTGGTGCTCGATGCACACCCCCTCCTGGGAAGGCTGCCTGCGGGCGTGGTATCCGTACTCGGTGAATGGTGGGCTTCATCAGTTGACATCTGCTTGGGCACTGAGATTTACTTTTGCAAGTTAAAGGGGAAGGAGACACCAGACAAGCAGTCCAGAAGAGTAGCCGCATGAGCGCCGTTGAGGCTCACTTCACTGGAGGAAGAAACTCCCGACTAGAAAGAAGGTCCGGAGATTTCATCCGAGGGAAACCCCAGGCCCAGGGTCTACTCGGTCCAGGCCTGGGGTTCTGAGGCCTCCTGGGTCATCCTCGATGCCAGAGAGCCGGCTGCACGTGGCCGTATTCCCACGTGGGCGCTATTCTCACTCCCCCAGGGACGCAGGGCTGTGCCGGCACCTTTGTTTTCCCAGCGGTCCAGTGCCGCCTGCCCACCCCACCGCACAGGACGAGATCTGGGAATAGATGAAATAAACAAAACCTCAGAAGTGCCTTCTGCTACTACAAGTGACAAGTCCCTGAGCATCAGAGCGTGTCATGCCCCATGGACGGGATCAGGCCGGGAATGTGCTCAGTGCTCTAGAGCTGGGCGTCCCCTCCCCGGGCAGCTCTGGAAGGAAGCCCGGGAGTCTGGTCTTCTCCCAGGCTAGCCTGACCGTGCAGAGGACCGTGCCTGGGTGTCTTTTTCCTGGGTGGGGAGAGTCCCCCCAGTACGGGAGGCCCCACGGCCTGCAGCAGGAGGGGCGTGGCCTTCACCCCGGGTCTGGCTCCCCACGCTCACACTTCTGTTACTGGGAACTCCGTTGACAGGTGTTGTGAATCGAGGCCAGCAGTTTAAAGATCTCTGAGAGGTGGGGAAGAGGGTGTTTGGAGGAGTGCTGAAGTGAAAACATGTCATCATCATTTCTGTCAACCTCGCCTTGAGCTCCCCGCTCTTTGCCTGGATGCCGTTCTCCAAGTCTCCCCTGCCTGTGCCCCCCACACTGCAGCCCTGGCCACGGAGGCTGGCACTGGGCTCTGCAGGGACGGGAGAGCCACCTTTAATTAGACAGATTGGGTGGGTACAGGAGCTCCAGAGGGGCAGCAGGTTGCCCCAGGGCCCAGCCTCCTCCCTGTGAGCCCCAAGGAGCCTCAGCACACTCCTGGGGTCGGGTCTCGGAGAGAAGCGGCACTTTGGTGGGCAGCCAGGCTGGTGGTTTGGGGGTGTGGGAAGCAGGGACGTGGGGGAGCTGAGCTGAGGGCTGTCTGTTGGAAGACAACAGCTAGCAGCTGCCCCTTGGCAAGTGGGGACTGCAGGCTGTACCTCCATCCAGGGCTATGAAGGAGTCAGCCATGTATTGTAACACACAGGACAGGTTGTCTCCTGAGAGCCTGCTGCCTGCTCGGTTCTATGGGCGAGGCCCAAGGACCAGTGTCTGGGTGTGCACCCCTGCTCTGGTGCTTTTGGCCCATTGTAAATTTCGTTCCTCCATGAGCCCTGCCCTGGTGCAGGGAAGCTCCACTTGTGCACAATGAGTGTTGCTGATGGTGGAGGGAGAGAGAGCAGATGTGCCCTTGAGAGATGAGGCTGGGGAAGGAGCATGCTGGTCAGCTGGCTGGAGGGTCTGGCTTGGCTCTGATGCTCAGCCCTGCACCACAGTGGACAAGTTTTTGTCCCTGGGCCCCAGTGTCCTCATCTGGGAAGTGGTGTCAACACCAGCCTGCTCCCCCGGCATGCTACCCCGAGGACAGACACCTCCCAGTGGAGGAGAGCACTGGGTGAACCCACTGGGCGTGTGCGGGAGGAAGGCTTTGAGTTCGCCAGCTCAAAGTTGAGCTGAGTGCAGAGGTTCTTCCGCCTCAGGCAGGGCAGCACCGCCGCGTCTTCTGGCTCTTCTGAAACAGGGGCATTTTATGGTACTGAAGTGTGAATGGCCTCATTCTGTCCCCTAGAACCTGCCCCCCCAGACCTGCCTCCTGCCTTTCAGGCTCAGAGCCCCTGGGTCTGTTGGCACCAAGTCCTCCAGGGTCCAGGGAGGCCGGTTCTGCTGGTCGTGGTTGAGGCCTGTCCTAGGGAGCCAGGGACCAAACCTCGAGGTCTGTCCCCAAATGAGGAGCGTTGTAGTTTTCCCCACTGGGAGCAGTGATGTCAGACTTCAGTTGCTGGGGCAACATTACTGGCAGGGAACCTGTGGAAACGGCCTGTCAGTAAAATCTGGGAATGGCCGGATATGGAAACATCTGGCCGTGTGTACCGATGACAGAGCTGTCCGCTGCAAGCGCCTTTATTTAGGGTGAGTTTACCAACTCCATTCTGTTCCTCTGATCCGTGCTTTGAACAGAGGACCTTCTTTAACCTCTACGCCTGTGTGATCCGGGGCTTGCTTCAGACGGCGTATTTAATGAGTTACTCATATGACGCCCAGGGTTCTGTTTGTTTAATGGACTTTTCTACTAAGAGCATAAAGATTGAGGCTGATTTAGCAGTCACTTCACACACTCCTTTTTGTGCTCATTGTCTGTGCTGTATGTTCATGGGTCTTACTGTTCTTGTGTCATAACTAAGATCTATTTTGAGGAAACGATGGGTACCTTTGAACAAACTTCCTTCCACACAGCAGTGAAGCCTAAAGTTACGTTAATGTACGTGAAGAATGTTGGGTAGCCATTTATATACTGTGTATATGTATGTTAAACACGGTAGCTTCAGAGGGGGCAGGAAAATAAATCTAAGGTGCTTATTAACGTGTGTGTTTGTATCTGTGTGAAGCACTCGGTTCCAGGGGCCCACGTTCCTGGGCCTGGCATGGTGGAGGGGAGCGGGGTGTGAGAAGTAAAATTCGGGTCACCCTGTCCAGCGAGGCCTAGACCAGCACAAGGGCTCAGAGGGTCTTCGGTGCTGATCCCGACTCTGAAATGCAGTCACGGGTCCAGGAAAGACCTTGGAAAAAACAAAAGAGCAGCTGCAGCACTGCCCTGGGGGCTGGGAGCCCTGCCTTCCCTGTAGGCTCCGTCCCTGCGCCGCTGGGTACCCCAGGGCAGCCGCTTTCCCTCCTCTGGGCTCTGGGGTCCCGTCCACTCAGAGGATGACAAGGGTTTTCTCCCGGGAGCCCCATCACGAGACGGCCGCCAGGAGGCGCAGCTGCTGGCGCCACGTCGTCCGGGACTGGGCCCTTCTGCAGAGGTCGTCCTGCGGCAGCTGATCACATTCCCAGAAAGGAAGCCAGTGCACCAACCTCTCCTGTTCGTGCTCCAAACATCGGGAAATGCACGCTCTGAGCCTCTCTCCGCCATCTGTCCTGCACGAAATCTCTTGGAGGAGGGCAGAGACTTCCAAAATAAACGTCTGAGTGACTGCCTTCTGGGCTGTGGCAGTTGGCAGAGACTTTAAGCTACCATCTGGTTCAGCCCCCTCGTTGCTCGGGTTGGGGAAGTTGAGGCCCATGGCAGGGAGCCAGTGTGGTGCCACCCAGAGTGCCTTCTCCTGGGCTGAGAGTGAGGTGCTGTCTACCACTGGGCAGCACCCACAAAGAGTAAGAGGAGATCTGGGCGCACCAAGGTGCCCTTTCTGGGCCAGGGGGCCGAGTGCCAGTTCAAACTGATGAAATTCCTTTCTCTTGGGCTCTCCCCACACCCCCGACAGGGCCAGGTAGCAGAAGTTCAGCCCGACAGCTCCCAAATAGCTGTGGCCATGGCAGTGGAGGAGTGAGGCCCAGAGGGAAAGGAGCCTGCCGGTGTGCCTGGCAGCGGGCGCTGCCTGGCCCTGCCGAGTCAGCCCTGGAACACCACTGGGTCAGATGTGCAAGGCGCAACCTACGAAATCTCATCGAAGATCGTGAAGGAGGGTGTGGGACCTGGGAAGAAAAGGTGCTTGCTGAGCAAATGTCACAGGCATAGCCCTTAAAACAGAGTGAGCGATGAATTCGATCATGTACAAATAAAGATTCCTCGGGCGATGTTAAGTGATAGAAGATAATTACGATGACTTCCCATAAGGGACTGGTACACGAGCAGTTCCCGTAAGTCAGCAAGAAAGACAGCCACCTCCCCAGAAAAACAAGCAGACAACTTGAAGAGAGAAAACCCCAAAAGCCAACACACATACATAGATATTTGAGATCAGTAGACATATAGGGAAATACGTATGATAACAGTAAGGTATCCCCTTATACCTGTTAGTTCAGAAAGAAATTAGGAAGCTGGATGGCACCAAGTGCTGGAGGGGCCACGGGGATGGGCGGCTTCACGCACAGCCACCTGAAGAGAGCGATGCTACTGTCTGGGACTGAGTGTGCCACCCCCACTCATACGTTGAGGGCCTGACCCCCACCCCCATCCCACTGCTTGGAATGGGGCTGTATTTGGAGACAGGATCATTAAAAGGCAGTCAAGGTAAGATGAGGTCCAGGGGGTGGGCCCGAGTCCAGTATGACTGCTGCTCCTGTAAGAAGAGATTGAGACGGACATGGAAGTGACCGTGGCAAAGTTCGGAGAAGATGGCTGCCAGCAGGCCAAGCAGAGGGGCCTCAGAAGAAACCAGCCCTGCCCACAGCTTGGTCTCTGGCTTCCAGCCTCCAGAACTGTGTGAAAATGCATTTTTGTGTTTTCATCCACCCAGTCTGCCATCCTTTGCGATGGCGGCTCTGGGTGACTGATGCGGCTACCTCCCCAAACGGAGTGTGCGCACGCCTCGAGATGTGGAGACTTCCCCCCTGGGTTTACGGCCCTGGGGCATTCTGCACAGATCCCTGCGGGGCCGTGTCTGAAGGTACGCGTTTGCTGCAGTGTCATTTGTGCTGGGAGGAAGCTCCTCCTGGTGCCCCTCACGGGCGGTCAGCCCAGTGCAGCAGGTGGAAATACCAGGCTTAGAGGTAACCTAGCGGAGTGGGTGGAGCTTCACCATGTAGAACTGAGTGGAAGATGACATTCCTGTGATTAGAAATAAATGCACACAAAAGGGTAAAAGATTTTGGAGAAGTACTCGCATATTTAAAGAGATACCTGTTCAACGCATTTGAACAGTTGCCTACCAGGGGCCAGGAGCGTGGGAGTTAGGTATGGAGGTAATGAGGAATTAAAAATAGTAATTAAAAATAGTAATAGTAAGAGAGGGTCAGCGGCCCAGCTCCTGAGGCCCCGGGAGAACCAGGCCCCAGCTTTGCCCCTGGAGATGCTGCCCTGGGTGTGCCTGGGTCTGGCTGGACTTGAGGCCGAGAAGGCCTGCCTTCTGGGGGCTGTGCCCTCCCAGGCTACCAGCGTGTTTGTCCCTCCGGCGCTTCTGCAGTGGGCCAGTAGGATGGGAACCGAAGCCACGTTCAGGGGCTACAGTGGGCAGGGAGGGCTCCTGGAATCCATGGGGCCATGAGGCAGGGAGAGCAGAGAGAAGGGGACCCTAGAGGGGAGAGCAGGCAGGTTTGAGCTCATCCTGGTCACCGGAGACTCTGTCCTTCCAAGAGGCAGCCTGTCTGACCAGCAGCTTCCTGGAGGACATGTTTTCCCACATGAGGCCCTGAGCTGAAGGCTCTCACAGCCGCAGGGGGACAGAGGTGCAAGGCCTTCCTCTCTCCCCGGAAATAGCCTGCTCTGGCCCAAGAACCAGGAGTGTGAGCCTGGGGAGCGGAAGCCGAATCGGGTGGGTTTTTGGGAGGGGGAAAGGAAGCAGGACCACCACTGTGCTGAGGGGTTGGTCTTGGCACATTTTCGGAGGCCCCGGGGATGGGAGCAGGGGCCAGGAATACAGGGCCAGCTCTGGGATGGTCTTTCTCACGGGGCTGTTCAGCAAGACACGAGAAGTGGCTGGCTCTCTGCCCCAAAGGTATGCAAATAGAGCTTGGATGTGCCCATCTGTCCCCATCTTGAAGAACATGCTGTCCCCATCTTGAAGACATTGTCTCGTCCTGGATGCTGGCGTCCGTGGGGTCATCTGCCTATCTCGCCAAGTGTCTCCTGTATGTCCATCCCACGGGGTGAACCAGACGCCAGTTGCAGGAAACAGCCTGTACCAGCTCCCGTTTGAAGAGTAAATATTAGTTTTTTCAAGAGCTGCCTGTTCCTTATCACTTGGCACTGAGGACACTGAGCAGGGGCGGGGGACAGGGGACCCCTTGGTCCCCACACTTAGATGGAGTCTGTGGGCCCAGGTCACTGCTGCCATGTCCAGGCAGGCAGTCACCCGAGCTCTGGAGTCCCTTCCCAGGGGAGATTTGGACACCCTGAGCCTCCAACCCCCGTGTGTGTTGCGGGCTGTCCAGGCGGCCGCCGCAGGGGCAGGGACCGCACGCTTCCAGCTGGCCCTGCAGCTCTCTGGGCCCCAGCTCTGACCTATGTGTTTTGAAATCCTCTGATAACCAGGAAGGGGAATGACTTGTCCCTGCTCTTGGGGAGGGGTGTCCCCGCTTTGGGGAGGCCTCCTGTGACCACCCCCTTCATCTGGCCCCTCATCCTGCTTGCCTGATTCTGTGACTTCTCTCATTGGTTATCTGTTTCCTGTATGACAGGGCCATCTCCACGAGGGCAGAGCCCCACTTCGGTCACTGCCGTGTCCTCTGTGCCTGGGACTCGGCCCACGGTTAAGTGCCTGGTAACTTTCTGCTGAATGGATGTAATGATGTGAATACTTTGCAAGTAATAAACAGGTGGAATTCTCTTCCCCTAGCCCTTGAAATTGTCTTCCTCTGAAGCTGCTGCACCACTGTGACCCTGGGGAAGGGTGGGGCGGGTGAATGCCATCTGGGGCAGAGGAAGGGAGGCCACTGCCCGCTGACCAGGGGTGGGAAAAAGAAGGGGACAGCCATTTCAGACATGTGTCCTGGCCTCACCCTTTGGGATGAAGTCTTGAGGGGGAAACACAAAGCTGAAAATAGAGGGGTGTGTGTCCCACTCTGTGCTCAGAAGCCTGTGCCCCTTCGGCAGCCCTGTTGGAAAAACTGGGCAGAGGCACGTATTTGATGGCTGGAAGCTCCTGGAAGGGAGCCTGGGGGGTGCCCAGAAACCTGGAAGGGACCTAGGGGCCCTGTGTGCCCCACAGGACACTCGGAAGGTGGCTAAGGTAGAGCCGGTGGGCCCGTCGTGGCCCTGCCAGGGCTGGTGGGAGGTGAGCCTGCTGCAGAGGCTGCGGCGAGGGCAGCTCTTATGCGGGACCGGGTGGAGGTGTGGGGAGACTGCACGGGCCTGAGGGGCCAGAGGGAGCCAGGGTGGGGCTGGAACAGCCAGGGCAGGCCCTGGGGCCTTGGCCACGAGGACGGGCTCTGAGTGCCCCGGCCACAGACTCCAGCTGTGGGCCAGCGAGTGTCCGTGCAAACTCTGGGGCGAAGGGCCGCACCGGGACCTTCGTGTGAGGCTCCTTTTCTCTGCCACCCAGAAGCCACCTGTGTTGGGCCCTCTGCCTTGTATCCGATCGACCTGCCTTTGCCAGTTCCTACGGGAGTGACTGCACAGTCTGCCCCGGAGCTCCTCTGGGCCCTGGACTGGGACACCTGAAGGAGCTGGCCTGTCACTCACACATGCCAAGCCCGAAGGAGGAGGTGCCGGCGTGGGCAGACCTTGAGAAATAGATGGTGGGAGCCAGCGGTTAAGGTGCTGCTGTCCCTCAAGAGGACGATTCTGGGGTGCATTCTGCTCGCAGCTTAGATGGTCCCAGTGGAAACGAGGTCCCCTTGCCACAGCAGTGACCAGCTCAGCAACCCTCCTTTATTTTGGCTGTTCCCACTGTCCTGTTTCCCATCCGTGTTTCCTGGTCAAGGGACCCCAACTCAGGCTCTGCTTTCTGGGGACTCAGGTTACTGGGCCACCTGCGCCTCTGGGCTAGAAATCGTCTGTGGCAGTCAGCACCCCTCTCTGGCCCCTTCCACAGCCCCCTGTGTTGGAAGACCAAAGCCTGCCTTTTCCCAGACACCCTTGCTGATGGGGATCTGGGTACAGCGTAGGCTCGGCCAGACCCTTCGGGAGAGGGGCGAGAGGCACGGGGAGGTGGGGACCCTTCTTCTTCCTGCAGCGCGGCAGCCGATGGGTGGGACCTGGCACACACAGGTTTTTGCAGAGGCTAGACACTGTGTTCCTTCCACTCCCCTGTCACCAGCTGATGGGATGTGCCACTAATTCCCTGCAAGGTGTAGGCCGGGGTGGTGAGACAATGAAGTGTAGAAGTACACCCCACCTCGCACTCCTCCAGATCCTTCTACATTCAGTTCCTACTCTAAGTTTCCTTCTGCACAAAATCCCCAGCGTTTTTCTCTTTCCTGGGCTGACCCATGGCAGATGCGGCCTCCACTCCTCTGCCACACGCTACACCAGCCAGGCTCTGGGGGAGGGAATCGGAAAGGCCACCCAGTTACCCAAAAAGGCACCCAAGGAAAAACTGGGGGTCAGACTGCTGGTTGCCTGCTCAACAGCCTTCTCCTGCAGCAGATCAGCTTCCCTTGCGGAAGCCGGGTCGGTCTTGCAGCCGGGGCTGGGCAATGTGACCTAGTCCTGGCCCGGGAAGACGGTGTGCGGAAGGTGGCCGCCGGGGCATAGCCTATCCTCCTGATGAAAGGAGACACACAGGAAACCTTCTCCTCCCTGCCAGGGGTCGGGATTCTGTGAGAACATGATGCTTGGGGCGGGGGTAGGGACGGCCACCTCGCAGTCATAAGGTGACAAGATCGCGGATGAGAATCAACACACTGAAGAGGGCAGAGTGGACAGAGAGAAACACCCAGGTCGCTGGGGACATTGTCGAGCCGCCCAGTTAACTCTGGAGCTGCCTGCTTCCGGTGGGCGTCGCCTCCGCAGGACCCTGTCTTTCTGAGCCACGTGGAGGCCAGTTCCCAGCGAGCTCTTCCGAGTCCTCTCCAGGCCCACGTGCTGGGGCTCGGGGGACGGGGCCTCTGCTGAGCAAGTGAGGCTTGGGTGTGAAAGTTAGGGAGGGGGCCCTAACTAGGCAATCAGGATAAATTGTGTTAAAAAATCGAAACAAGTGCAAAAATACACAATTAACAAAGTATCCAGATTTTAAAATAAAGAGACTGAAGAATCAGTGTTGCCACCTGGGTCTGCCCTACGTGTGCGTCCGCACGGGGCACACCCACTCCCCCCCCCCCCGGTGACAGTCCGCCTCCTGAAGCAGGGCTCTGGGGTTTTGAGAACTGGGTTCAAGGCCAGGTGCCACCAACAGCTTGCTGGGGATGCCGAGCAAGCCCCTTCCCTTCTCTCTGGACTTGGGTTACCCCGTCCTGCACGAGGGCTGGGGTGTTGCCAGGGTGGCCTGTCCCCCTCGTCCCCACGGCCTTCTGAGGTTACTTACTGACCCTGCTCCTGGGAGGCTGTGTCTCCAGGGCCACTGACTCCTGGCTATTAATATCTCGGCCACCCCTGGCCTGATCGGGGCCCTTGATGACGGCCAGCTGCGGCTCCAGCCCTCTCCCCAGGGGAGAGATAAGAGCAGTTCCTGTTCCCACGTGCTGGGGTGGGGGGAGGGGGAGGGAGGCAGGGTCATTGCTCATTCAAACAGGCTCTGAGTGAGTGGTGGGAACGGAGGGGCCGACACTTAACCATCCTCATTGCACCCTGGCCCATCACCTAGACGGCGGAGCCTGGGGATGGACTCCCTGTGCACACCTCCCCCACAGGGCTACTTGGTCTCCCCACCTGGGGCCCTTCTCAGCTGCCGGAGGAGCCTGCCCCAAACCCACCCTCATCTTCTCGGCCTCATGGGAAACACCTTCACTGGGTTCCTGCTGCAAAGGGCCCCCCAGCACCTGCTTACCTGGATTCAGGTGCCCCTGGTACCCATAAGCTCCCTTGGGGCCCAGACACTACCCCGATGTCACCTCACCTGAAGGCTGCTCCCAGTACATTCTGCTGGCAGACTGGACACCCCGCCCCCTGCCCCTGGGCCGCCCATGCCCTGCCGTGGCAGGAGCCATCCACACGTTGGCCTCTGCCCCCAAGGCGATGGTGGCCCGCTGCGTCAGGATGCTGCAAGAGGGCTCCTTGGCTTTGTCTTCCCAGGAAGTGACCACCTGAGTTAACTGGTCTTTGCCCTTAAGAACTAGGGTCAGAGCTTGGCTACGGGCAGGGGCCTAGCCTGTGACCGACCACGGAGACCCAGCCCTACCTGGGGCCCCAGTCGGGTCTGGTGCAGGGATCACTCTGTGCCACTGGGGCCAGGGGCCTCGGCCTGAAGGCTCGGCTCTGAGTCTCCTTAACCCCTGGGGACAGTAGTCCTGTGGCCTCACCTCCTCCTTCCTCTTCCATCTCATTCTGAAATGGAGTTGAGGAGATGTTGGGGCCCCTAAAACCAACCTTGGTGAAGCCCTTCAGGTGCCCACCAGGTGGCGATAGAGATGAGCTGGTCTCGCCATGCAAGGCAGCTGGAGCTGGAGGCAAGAGGGGGTGCAGGTGAAGTTCATTTTGTGGTCGCCCTACTGACTTCACAGGCAGCTGGGGTGTCTGTCTGGGCCTCTGCCGGCCCATGGTGGTGTTTCAGCTTCTCTTTATTCCTGAAAGCCCAGCCCCGGGTGTTTCACACCCGCCACCTCTCAGGGCAGGGCCCAACCCATGCCCTATTGTTTGCCCCTGTCTTGGGTTTCTCCATGTTTTATTCACTTCCACCTTCCTGGATGATAACTCTGCTCCTCTCCCCAAGGCTCTCTCCTTACCCTAAAGCCCTGACTCACTCAGGAGGGGTTTCAAGCCCTGGACAGGCTGGGTCTGGCTTACTCTGGGGGCCTCCGGGTCTTTACAGCCCTCAGGCAGCCCGCGCAGTTCCTGAGCTGGAAGGCAGGGTGCTGCCCTGTCCTCTGCAGATTCTGTGCTTCTTGGCTCTGTTGGCTGCTCCAACTTCTCCTCTTCCCTTCCCCGTCGTCCACCAGCCTGAGCTCATCCTCAGCTCTCTGACTTGCTCTCAGCACAGCCTTCATCTCCTGTGCATCTTTGGCCCCTAGATGCCTGGAGCTCCCTCTCCAGCTGCTCTCTTTCCCAGGAGCCCAGAGGGCAGAGCAGGTGGCAGAGGGCTCTGGGCAGCCTCCTCCGCATCGGCGAAGCAAGCCTTAGCCAGGAACTAAGCTAAGCCATCCAGCCCCTTCCCCTCTTGTGCAGGTGGAGAAACTGAGGTCCAGAGAGGGGCAGGGGCCTACTCGTTGTCTTTCAGAAAGTGTGACAGAGTATCAAAACCAAAAAAGGAGGGCTAGGTCTCCTGGACCTCACTGAACAGTACAGGGGTGGACAAGGTTTCTGGAGCCAGTTCAGGGGTCCCTGAGTGGGGAGGGGGAGAAAGGAAACCAGAGACTGAGCGACATGCCCCAGCTGGGCGAGGGGAGCATGGACTCACTGCCTGTACCCCATCTCTCATCCCCTGTGTCTTGGACTAGGAGGGATTCGAGACTCAGAGAAGAATGGAATGAGCTCCAGGCGTCCCAAATGCCCTAGCTCTCCCCCACTCACACCTCACTGGTTGGCCTGGTGGGGGCGGGGGGAGAGGGGGCTGAGAGTTCTCTCTCCAGCAGGCCAGACAGTGCTCACAGTCAAAGCCAGGGGCACTGCCTCCTCTGTCCTACAGCTGACAATGCACACAGGGCAGGCGTGGAGTGCAGTTCTAAATGGGGAAGGTTTGTCACCCCTGGACATGCTGGGCCTCAGATCACATATGCCTGGGACCGCCCCTGCTCTGGGTTTATGGGCACTCTTATGCTGGTGACCCTGACGACCCCTAAGTCGGGCCTCTGCAGCGTGCTGGTCTGCAGCCCGAGGCTTCGAACGAGCCTTGCAGTCAGCCTGCCATCCCTCTCCTGCTCCTGCAGGAAGACAACCTCCTTGCAAGTTTGCAGAATGTGGAAGCCAAGGAGGTAAGCTTGGGCAGTGGCTTTGGAGACACCTCTTGCTGGCTGACGTCATCTACTTGTCCCTCCTGCCTCTGTCTAACCCTTTCTGTTAGCGGTATTGTCTCTGCTCACTCGTTGGGGTGACATTTGTTCTGTGTTCTTCCTCTTGACTGAACCCTGGCCATGGCAGCGCGGTCCCCTCACAGCACGTGGGCTCCTTGGCAGGAATGACTTTGGCCTGTGATCCTGTGACATGCTCACATGTGACCGTTTCTGGGACTGAGGGCAGCTGTTGGCTGCTTTGCACTGACCCAAGAACAGAGCTGTCTCTCTGGCAGGATTTAGGTGGGGGGACACGATGGGGACCTGGTGTAACTTTTTCATACCCAGAGGAAAGAAGCTACCCCTCAGTGAGATGTCAGGTGAAGACCCTTAGAACTCTATCTTCTCACCTGGAATGTATTCCTGCCCAAAGCCAGAGGGGTGGCTTCAGTGCACCCCTCCTGTGAATGGGGGGAGATGGCCGCAACTGGGAAGCTAGTCCCCACCTTAGGCCACACGGGAACATCAACCACCAGGCAAACCAAGCCAATCGGATACAACGTTTATTGTTGCACAAGTGTGGGTCTTCTGGCTGGGCCGTGGGCAGGAAGCCTTGACCTCAGGGCGCAGGGCAGACACACTGTGCCTTGACCACTAGGCACTTGTCTGGATGGTGCATGGGCCACCGGACTCCCTGGCCACACTGCAGGGAGTGTCGGGTGGGAACGGGGCTGCAGGACTTGGGGTAATGACAGCAGTGATGCAAGTAACCAAGAGGATCCAGCGTGTTATAAGGTATAAAAACAGCAGTAAAAAGTCCGTGCGTTCACTTGCCCATCAGCCAGGGTCGAGTTCAAATCCCGCTGTGAGACAAGATCAGGGACCTGCCCTCTGTGAGTCTCCACTTCCTGACCTGCGGAGGAGGGGCAGTAGTTCCCACCTTGCTGGGCTGACCTGGCGATGGAGGGCCTGTGAGTGCACATCTCTGAGCCTAGTTCCCACAGTAAGCACCATAGGTGGGCAGCCAAGCGCGTGGGTGGCTTTGGTGGCAGTCTCCTCGAATTGTTCCGAACTTCCCGGGACCACTTCACTTCAGCAGGGACTCTGAAGGTAGCTGCGCTCCCCGAATTAGAACTCCCTTCCACAAGCGCATCAGCCTCAGGCAGAGCTATTCACTCACCTGGAGCGGAGGGCAGCTAGGAGGACGCTGGGGAGGGGACTGCACCTTCAGAGAGATGCCCCAACAGCAATGCTCAACCCAGAGGGACTTGACAGCAAGTCGGAACTCTGAGCACTGTTGAGGTCGTGGTGGGTTTCAAGGGCCAGACCTTTGTCAACCACGTTCCCACTGTATTATCGGAGGTTGGGTGGTTGCCTTCCTCGATAGGTCATGAGAGGGAGTGGAGTCTCTTAAGAATATGCGAATTTCTTGCCATTGATTGGCAGAGAGGGCTTTCGAGGGAGGAGTCTGATGAGTGCGCTCCACCCCACGTCCTCCAGGGTTCGACTCTCAGGGCTCTTGCTTAGAAGCGGCTCCTGGTCTAACCACCCTTCTCTCCCCAGGCATGCGCAAGAGCAGCGTTCTCCAGGGCCTTCCGGACAGTGACCTGGGGGCCAGGGCAGCCTCCGAGCCCAGGGCTGGGGCTGGCCTCGCCCGGGCAGGCCTGTCCCCGGTGCCGCCCGGGGTGGGTAGGTGCGGGCGGGTGGAGCCTCTCTGGGCCCCCGGGAGCCTGGCGGTCAGACCAGAGAGTCCTCGGCCTGGAAGCTGGAGCAGCGGCGCGCGCTGGGGCTGACGCGGGTCAGCAAGGAGACTTGTGTGCTGCATGTGGCCCCGCTGCTGCCTCCTGGCGGGTACTGGTATTTGGGGCCCCAGCCCAAGATGCCCTGTAGGTTCCAGCGCCGCCACTTACGCCGAAGTTCCGCCTGCACCTGGGAGGAGGGAGAGTAGTCACACCTACAAAGGCTTCTTCACTGCTGATTGGGCTGTTCTCCAGTTAGGGTGCTGAGCCAGCCAGTCATGTGCTCTTGGGGAGTCTAAATTGAAAGACCCGGATGCTCCCTTGGCCGGAGCAGAATTGGGAAGGTAGGGGCCAGGGTCAAATCAAGACCTTGGAGCGTGCGGATGGGGAAGGCAGAGAAGGTCAGAGAAGGCAGCCAGAGGAGAGGCATGCTGCCTGGGGGCGGCTGTGCCCCATTCTATTCTCCTGCTCCCTGCCCTCCAGCCCACTTGAGCTCATCCAAGTGGATCTCTTGGCTTTGTAACCAGCGCCTCGCTGGAAGTCAGCCTTCACTGGCTGCCCCCCTCCGTCCCCACTCACTCTGCACACAGCCACTTAACAGGCACTTCTCAAACTCCCAGGGTACACGAGTCTGGTGGGGGGTGGGGGGGGTCACTTAAAATGCAGATTCCCAGTCAGCAGGTCTGGAGCGGGCCAAGAAATCAACCTTCTTAACTAGGTCTTAGATGCCATCACTGACTTCCTAGTCTGAGTACCACTCTTGGAGCATCAAGGTCTAACCCATTTTCACTCTGCTCATGTCCCATCAGTCTCTAGGCCCCTGGGGTCTGGGAGGGGCTTACCTCGCCATTTAGGAAGCAGTAGAGGACGGCCACCACAAAACCCTGAGGAGGAAGGGGGTGGGGGAGGTGAGGTGGACGGACCGCAGGACCCTCCCCCCCCCCCCCCGGCCCCGCCCTGGGTTGCCCCGGTTAAGCACAGGGCTGCTGAAAGACACAGCAGGTGCTTCATCAATACTTATCACAGTCAAACGACTGCAATCCCATGGCCAGAGGCCAAGGCCCCCGGGTTGAATTCCCTTAAAGCCCGGAGACGAATGCAGCCTCCAGCCAATAAACCGTACCTGGAATGACCCCACGACGAGCTCGAAGACCAGTTTCACTTCAGCCTTGTAGTTGTCGGGGAAGAAGGCAAACATGGTGTAGTGCACCCCAAACAGGGGGATCAGCAGGAGGGTGGACTTGGCCAGCCTCCTGGGGACGGAGAGGGGCAGGCAGTGGGTTGGCGTGTCCCCACATGCGGACACGATAGGGCCTGGCACGGGAGCGGGTGAAGCACAGAACATGGGGACAGCGACCAGGATGTGTCCGGACGGACTGTTGGCTCCCGTGACAAGTACATCCGCAGCTGGCTGGGTTCCCCGTCTGCAGAGCCTACGCCCTCACGCTGCCCAGCCCTCCCCGCCCAGAGGGGAGCATGAGGGAGAAGGAAAGCCCTCTATTCTCGGCCTTCGGGAAGGGAGAGCATAAAGGGGGCAGGGCCGAACCTTGAGGATGATGCATAGTCGTGCTTCCCGCTCTGTATCGGCCGATGGGGAGATGTTCTCAGGCCACGTGCGATCCCAGCTCCCCCTTCCCTGGTCTCAGTTTCCCCAGTGCTCTACATGGTCCCATTACAGAAATGGGACCCACTGCAAACTCTGCAATGCTCTGGCACTATCCAGCACGCTGAACCCAGAAGAGACCAAGTCTCTATGGGAGGGGTCTGATGAGTGGGAGGGGCCTCTGCGCTCCTGTCTCCCGCCTTGGCAGTCAGTCCCGGGAAGCCTAGCTCCGGGGGCCTGAGGTCCCACAGAAAACTGGGGCAGGGAAACCGGCCTTGCTTCTCCCATTCCTTCCTCGACCTGGTTCTCAGCCATGCCCAGATCCGGAGTACCGCCCACCCCTCCTTGGCTGCAAACCTATCACACGCCCCGGAGGCTGACAGATGGAAGTTTTCTTTAAACTGAAGCCTTTGGGGGAGGTGGAGAGTGGGAGCTGACAGCCCCTCCTCGGGAAGCTCTGTCTCCCCTCCTCGCCCCCCCCCCCATCTCCCGACGGCGGCGGTTCCATTTCTATCTCACCCACGTGGACCTGGCAATGACCGGCTCTGCCTCACATTCAAGCCCTTTTGAGTAGTTGAATGTTGAAGGGGAAAAACAAGGCCCCACAGGCAAAGGAGAGGACACAGGCCCCAGGTGTACCTGCCCCTTGGCACACTGCACACCCCCGTCAGGGCCTTTCTGGCCCAAACTGGGAGAGGAGCCCACCTACACCCCCAGCAGGAGAGAGTGCTGACACTTCAGGAGCCCTAGTCTTATCAGAGAGGTCACGGGGTTCCAGAATAGCATCCTAACTCCGGCGACGCCTGACATTTCAGCCAGGAACCTTAAAACCACAGCACCGACTCCCCAGAGAGAACCCAAGCCAGGAAGAACGTTCCGGAATCCCAGGACTAGAAGGTCCTTGTGGGATCCCCCGCTGGTCTTGTCTGTGCGGGACTGGCAACCTGTCCCCGTCTTCAAGCCCATTGTTCTCGCGAGAACCTGCCCAGTTCTCCAGGCCTCCCAAGCACAGGCAAGAACCCTCACCCCTTTCTAAGCCAGGAGCATGGCTGCTGTCCCATGGACACTGTGTACCCTCCTGCCCCGGTCATGTGACAGACTCCCAAACCCTTGAGCGGAGGGTGTGCGTGTCAGTCTCCTTCCCTGTGAAATAAGGACAGTTGGAGGGGACTGTGGGGATGAAATGAGATGACGGATGGAGACCCCTAGCGCATGCCTAGCATGAGAGCTGCAGGTGCTGCGATCCTTCCCGGGGACCACTGAGCGCTGAGTATGACTGTCTTGTCGATAGGCCGGGGGCTTCCCCAAGGCATTCATCATTCGCTTTTATGGTCCCCTTTTCTGCGCCAGGCACATGCCAGGGCCTGGGCGCACAGTGTGAACAAGACACAGGTCATCTACTGTTTTCTCACGCTCCCTGGCTTGGCTGCAGTTTTGTACCTGGATCAGACCACGTGCTAGGAAAGGTGACTGCAGGAGAAGCAGACGTGGGACTCATGTGGGGCTGCTGGAGGGGACACTCATGGACTGGCCAGGCCACGGAGCAGAGGTGGGCAAGGGCACATGGGATGATTTGAGGACCGGGGATGGGGCTCCTGGGACAGCCAGGGCACTGGGGGCACACTCACGAGTATGGGCTTTTTTCACTCTTCCTCACGTCTGGGGGCTGCAGTTTCTGCACCAGGATTCGGATGATGAGAATAAACATGATGAAGTTCACCTGGTGCAGGGCGCAAGGTTGAATAGCAAGAGAGGGAAGACCAGGGTGTCCAGCCCCCTGGGCTGATGGCCTGACTTGTCCCCTAGGGTCCTCCATCTTCACTGTCCTCTAGTTTTTCCCCTCTGGGCAAGTCATCTGGGAACTTTACTTCCCAACCCTGAGGCCAGGGCCTCCCAGTCCATCTTCTCTACTCGAGAGGAAGAACTGGGGGCGGGGAATGGATGGAAAGTCTAGATTTCAGTTCTGACTTGGACGTGAATTCCCCACGCAACCCGACTACCCAATCTGGGCCTGTTTCCCCATCTCTGAGTGGTGGGGGGAGGCCTTACCAAGATGGATGTGAGGATGGGTGCCTTCAGGATCCACCACAGAAACGAGGAGTCGATGGTGTCCCAGCATCTGGGCAGAGGTGGGAGGGGAGGAGGAGAGAGGCTGTCCTCAGCTACAGAGACAGTCAGCAGCTCTCCCATTTGTCCCCCACCCTGTCTCCAACCCCGTTAGAGGCTGTGGGCCCCTACTCTGTTGCTCCCAAGTCCCTCTCATCCCACCCAGGGGGTCAGCCCCAAGGGATGGCAGCCAGGAGGAGGGGCCAGGGTGACGGCTCACCCATTATCCTCAAAATGGATCTTGGTGACAGTCCACGCCACTGTGAATATGCTGGGCACCCCTGTGAGGGCCAAAGGAGAGAGAAAGAGGAGAGGGCAGGGGAGGCAGGGAGAGGGTGTGAGGGAGGGATTAAGGAGGAAGAAGCAGAGAGGAAGGGAGAGAATGGGGCGGATCACCAGGGCAGCCCCGTGGGGTGGCATAGGTTGTTCGCTGCGCCCCACGGAGGGGCTGTGCCCACCTAAGGGGAGAGTCTGTTTCTCCTTTTGGCAGAGGTGTTCTATAAACCTGCAGTGGTTCTGTGTATTCCAAGGGCTGAAGGGGAAGTGGGCATATATTCACAGAACCTGCCTGTCCCACAGTTCAGCCCTGAGGGTGCCTGCCCTGGGTTTTTAATCATCCCCCCAACACACACATTTGGGGAACTTCAATCACCCCTTGGCTAGAGCATTACAGGCCCCACCTACAGCCTACCAGGACCTAAGACTGCAGGCGGGGCTGGCATCCGCCCCCCAGGGAGCTCCCCCCAGCCTTGCTCCCTCTGTTCCCAGCCTGGCAGCCCTCCCCAGTACCATACCCCAGCCGATGAGTATGTACCCCCAGAAGTACTTCCGCTCGGAGAAGAAGGAGACCGCGAGCAGGGTGTACAGGTAGAGACCCTCCACCAGCAGCCAGAAGTAGTTGGCCATGACACAGTACTGGAATAAGACCACGACCGCCTTACAGGCCACCTGCTGGGGAGGGAAGACAGCACTAGCAGGGGTCCGAGCCTGCCCACATCTCTGTCCGGGGTGACAAACACAGCTGCTGTAGAGCCAACTTAATCTTTGTTATTTTCATTCATTATCCCCTCAAAAACGTATGCAATGTCTTTCCAATTACCCCTGATTTGAGATCATCTGATGCATTGGGAAAAGCTTGTGGTTTTAATTATCCATCTATCAATTTATCATCTTCTTATTTATATAATTACTCACCCACCTAAGCATCCAACCATCCATCTTCCTACCTGTTTATTTATTCACTCACCCACCCACTAACATCCACTGCCAACTCACCCATGTATCTACCCACGTGCCATCTATTCATCTTCCCATCCACCAATCCACCCACACACTCACCTATCTACCTCCCCCTGCATCTACCTATCCACCTACTAGACATCTACCAGCAACCCACGCATCTCACCCTCTATCTATCCGTCCAACCACCTATCTACCCACCCACCCCTCTGCCCATTCTCTACCCGATTTTCTTACTTTATCCATCTCTCCTTCCACCTACGTAGCCACCACGCACTAGCTCCTCAGCCATCCCTCTTCCTACCTCCCCATCCACTCAAACAGCCCCACCCACCACCTACTCATTCACCTTGCATTTGCAAGAGTGTGAATGAAGGTGTGGGGTGTGGGCTATGGGCTGTGGAGTGGGTCCAGACACACGTGTTGAGGAATGGGAACTGAGGAGAGGGAACTGGGGAGGGAAGGAGAAGCGAGGGAAGAAGGGACAAGGGAGAGATGGCCACTCCTCCTGGGGGCCAGAGGAGCTAGTGAGAGAATGAGTTCCGCAGGTGGGTGGGGGCACTGGAGGAGTTGTGGGCGACCCCGCAGTAGGGCGGCCAGGGAATCTGGGTGGATTAGAAGGTCTTCTGCGCTCTCCTGGAAATGGCCTCCCATTTCAAATCAAGCCTGACACCTGCGAGCTGGAGCTCAAAGATACCTCCTCTAGGAAGCCCTCTAGCACTCCCAGAACATGAGTCCCACACTTCCTTCCTGCGCCCTTGGCTTTGAGAGACATCGTCGGAGAGCAGGCTGCCTTCCTTACCCAACGGCTGGAAAGTCCTTCTTCAGGCCGCACGCCAGTTTTTCCAGCTGCGGACGTGCCTGTTTTTCCCAGCCTCTCACACTTGCTTTACAACAATAACTCAGCTCTTTAACAGGGCAATTCTGTGTGCTTCTCCCAGCCTTCAAAAAGCTCCACGGAGCTGCTGCTCATGGATCAAGAAGCCAGTCTCGCAGTTGCCCGTGACCAGCCTGCTGGAGGCTGCATGTGGCTCCCCAGGCTCCGCACTGGCCCTGCGTGTATTCGGACCCTCTGAGAAGCTCTGGGCATGGCCAGCCTGGCTCCCCTGGGCTTTCCCTTCCCATTGGTGCGATGCCTGAGACTCCGCCATCACCTGTCAACTCTCTGGGGAGCAGGTGCTGCTGACCTCGGACACCAGGCACTGACTGCCCCTGCTGTCCCCCCTGAAGTTCAGGAATAAGTGGGAGCTGGGGCTGGTCTCCAGCTCCATCCTGGTTCAAGGACACTCAGGGAGGGGGCCCTGAGCTCAGAATCGCCTGGAGACAGACCCCTCAGTGACAGCGATGAATTCTTAGACACTCTTTTGATTTCCATTCTCGAAGACGCCTCCGCACTTACTGACGGCGGGGGAGAGCAGAGGAGGTGTGTCTGAACTGGCTCCACAAGGCAAGGGGGGTGGGGGACAGGGTGGCACGGTGGGCAGAGTCCTGGGTGTGCAGATGGCAGAGGGCAGAGTTGAGAGCAAGCTTGGAAGTCCTTGCACAGATGGGGAAACTGAGGCAAGGAGTTTCCTAAGGTTACATGGGGAGCTTGCCATCGAGGTGGGATGGGGACTGTGGGCTCTGGTTATGAAGTGTCCGGTTTCCTACCAACATGAGGTGTCTCTCCCAGGCAGGGGCAGGTCAGTGAACCCCCAGGCGGCTGAGCACCTTCTCCTGTTGTGGGGAGTGGAGTGGGATTCAAGGAGCTGCCAGGTGGGGTTGCCGGGGGTAGGGGCTGGCCATCCTCGGAGAGGGAAAGAGGAAAAAGGAAAGAGAGAGAGGAAGATGGAGGAGCAGGAGGAGAATCCTTTTCAGTGAGAGGAGATGAAGGAGGGATGGGGCGCCGGGCAGGTCCTCACCGGGGCCACAGGGCAGTCGTCCAAGGGGCTGCTGTCGAAGAGGGTGAGGTCCTTGACGAGGACGGAGACGGCCCTCAGGATGAAGGACATGAAGAGGTGCAGGTGGATGTAGTTCCGCGTGCAGTGGAGCTTCCTGGGGGGGCGGGCAGAGCGGGGAGGCTGAGGGGCCTCCGACCAGTCCCCCGCCAACCAACACTGTCCTGTGCTCTGAGCGAGGGTAGGGCAGGGGGAGCATGTGGCCCTGAGTGCCGACCCCGCCCCAGAGGTGTCCCGTCCCTGACCACCATGTGTAGCTGGGCCTCCGGGCGCCTCAGTGCAGAGCAAAGGCCCCACCCTCTGGCACCCTGTGCCGGGGTGCAAGGCCGTCCTGTGGGGGACAGAGGGACACTGAGCCTAGCCTGGTCTCTAGGGGAGGCTGGCCAGGCAGGGGGCTGGGGCGGGGCCCACCTGGGCCAGGCTGGGCTCCAGCGCCGAGTGACTTGGCTGGGTTTGCTCTGAGGCTTGTTGCCAGGGCAGGATCTCACCTGAACAGGCTCAAGATGGCAGTGGCGATGAGCAGGGAGGCGAGGGACAGGCTGTGCCCGATGGTATAGCCGGTCTGTATGGAGCTGTAGAACAGCACCTGCTGCTGCTGTTGGAGGGGTGAGGTGAGGATCTTGGGTGTGGGGTGAACTCACCCAGGGGTGTTGGCGGGGACAGGTGCCCCACACGCCCTGCCTCTGCAGAGGAGGAGGCTGGTGCCCCGGGCCCCCAAGGGTGGCTGAGCTGTTCCCTTGAGGACCCAGACCCCCTGACCCCCCAGTTTCCACAGAGGGGACAGGACTGCCTCCCAGGGTGGGGGTTGAATTCAACCCCTCTCTCTCCTCCTTCACTGGGAAGGTCACTGAGGCAAAGAGCGAAGACCTCACAGGGTCCACCTGTCCATGCACGTTTCAGGCACTCGTCCGGCACCCCCAGTGCCCAGCAGCCTAGGGAACCCAGACTGCTCGCCCTTTAGACCCCGACATGGGGACACACAGGGATGGAGGAGGTGAAGAAGACGCCATGGGGGGTGATGTCACATTGAGAGTCTCGGGGGCTGGGTCAGCAGGAGGAGGGGCAGTCTGCCTTTCAGGGGAGGTGGGACAAGCTGGACCCCAAAGGCTTCTTGCCAGTGCTCTCCCGATGTCCTGCCCAGGGCGACGCGTGCAGAGCCGTGGTCACGGGGCCACCCCTGCCTCCAGGAGAAGCAAGAAGTGAAGAGGGATTTAGGAGACTTAGATCCTGCCTGCTTTGAGGATCCCTGAGGAAGGTCCACCCTCTTGGGAGGAGTGAAAGCCCAGTCTGGGAAGGGTTTCTGCAGGCGGGACAGATGTCATCACGGACAGACACACACCCATGCGTTCACACGGCAAAGCAGCCACGGCTCCTGGCGGAGGACCCCAATCACACTGCAGCCTCCCCATCAGCATCCCCGCCCGGCTCCTGGCCCACGTCCCGGCGGAGGCCGCCTACGCTTCACCTGCTCTGGGGCAGGCCCCCATCCTGGGACTGGGACTGGCCATGCTGTCCCCGTCCCCAACTGACTGTTGGGCATCCGAGGCTGGTTCCTTCCAGGACCTGCCCCTTGGTTTCCCCTCTGCACGTGACAGGGAAGAGGGTGGCTGCCTGCCTTGTCACAGCCAGGGCTGGAGCAAGGTTCCCTCCGGGCAATGGGGTGGCCTGGCCAGCGGGAAGAGGCTCAGCTTTTGCCGCTCTGAGTCATCCTCATGAAAGTAGTCTTACGTCAGGGGAGCCAGGGGGTGAGTCCCCAGAAACACAGGCCTGGAGTGGGAGAAGGCAGGGGGAGGGAAGGCCGCAGAGAGCCTGGCTTCCGCACAGATGGCGCCCTGCCCCCAACCTTGGTGGGAGAGAGTGGGAGGAGCCCTGCAGGCTGAGGCGCTCCAGTGGGGGCTGGGGTGCACTGCGGCCCACCTCGTCCAAACTCCACTCCTTGTCATCCAAGGCGCAGACGACGTGGTAGGGGCCAGGCTCCAGGTCTGCCCAGCCCTTCTCGGTGCAGCTGCGGCTCACGTTGCGGCCTGTGGAGGGCAGGGGTGGAGAGGAGCCAGGTTGAGGCCCGGAGCAGGGCGGGTCCACGGGGCAGGCATGGGGCCTGGCTGCCTCTACCCTCCGCCCAAGTCCCACTGACCTCTGCTATGTCAGGCCGACTCCATCTGCCCTAACCAAGACCCCAGAGCCTCGCAGGGGAACCCAGGGTAGGGAGAAGCCCCTCTGGGATTCCGGGGGACCCTCTGACACAGGCGACAGTCAGAGCAGACATTCCTGGGCTCAGCCCTGCCCCTTGTCATGCCTGAACCTGCCCCTACATGGAATGTAAACTCTGATCCTTGTGACTGAAAGCCTGGATCCTTGGCTATCTGAATGATCCCTGACCCTTGTCACCACAGGGCAGGTTGGTGTGGCAGATGGTTTCTTTGTCCTGTGGGTCCAGGCAGCAGCCCTCTGTCGGGGGAAGGCGGGGGTGGGGCCCAGGCTTGCGCCTCCTCTGGGGTTAGCCTGCCTGGACCTACGGGCCTGGGTTTCCTCCCACACCTGGATGGGCTCAGATGCGCTTCCTTCCGGAGAGGGACCAAAGGTGAGGCAGGAGGTGGGTGGGGGCAGAGAGACACCTGACAACGCTGCACTTCTGTAATCCTCCTACATGGAGAGGCGGGGAGTTCCTGGCAGGGGAGCCTGGCCAGTGCGAGGGCTGCAGCATTGCGGGGTCTTGGGTTAACACGGACCACTGTGTTTCCTCTATCAACATAGCTACCCTAAGAAAGGTCCCTTCAAATGTTTGAAGGTGAAGCCACCACAGATTAAAGGCATGCAGACCACACATTAAAGGCCTGGGCCCCCAGGAACATTTTGGTGACTTAATGAGCGATCCTTGCCCAGACCCCCCACCCCCAGGTATTTGTACCCAGCCTGGTAAATGCCTTCTTTCTAACCCTCCACAATCTTTACCTTCCACAAGGTTCCTTCAGCTTTCACTGTAGAACCAGGTCCCTTCCACCCCCTGCAGGGAGGACATGTCTTCCCCGGTCCTCGTGCCTAGGAGCTGGGCTTGGCCTCAGCCCTCCCCGGCACGGCCTTCGCTCACTCACTTCCCTCCTTGGAGTTTAAGGTCAGATGCTTGCACCTTGTCCTCTTGTCACCCAGGAAAATGTACCCTATTTCCTTTACATGTTCAGCCCCTAACCCGTCTCCTATTCCTCTCCATCATTTTGGGAGACTTGGGCTACCAGCCGTAACTGTGCAAGCTGTTCTGGGCTGGAGGGACCCTGGGGATGGAGGAGGGGCTGACTGTTAACTGCAGGGGCAGCTGGCCACTAAGTGGGTTCTGGAGAGAGGCTGACTCAGCCCGAGGAAGGGAAAAGTCTTCCTCCTCTGCACAAAGGCTCTGTGTGGGCCCCCGGCCGGCTGGGGTTAGTCAGAGGGTAGGCCGGTGGGCCGCAGTCCAGGTTCTCAAGTGAAGGGGTGCTTTGGAGATTTCAGCGGGGCCGGAAGGAAGAGCCGTCAGGAGGAATGCAATTAGCAGAGTGGCAGGAAGGAACGCAATTAGCAGGCACTTCCTGGGATCCAGGAGAAGGCTGGTTACCAGGCTCTGCTCATGAGAGCACTGTAAGACGGCCCTGGTAACTCATCTCCTACCTGCCCACGTGCTGGGCTCTCCCAGGGGAGCGCTGGGCTAGGGGGGCACCATCCTGGAATAGGACATGCCTGGGACTGCTCCCAGATGCCTCGGCGGGGGGGGGCGGGCATCGGGGTCTATCCTTCACTGCTGAGGTCACCACACTGGGGGGCCGAGCTGGCCTGCCTCCCCAAAAAACATTTGGTCTATCTCCTATGACTGCTTTACAAACAGGGAAACTGAGGCCCAGAGAGGAAAAGGCCATCTGGAGTGAGAGGTGCCCAGGAGTCTTTCTGCCTCCCTCCGAGTCCTGTTCTAGGTCCGGCTCCTCCCTAAGTCCTTTCCTCTCCGGGGCCGATTCTCTCTCCTTGCTGCCCCCAACAGGACCTTTGCGTGCTGGCCCTTTCTCCCGACTCCGGGGCTTTCGTGCCTGTCCCCAAACACTTGCCTTACACTGCACCCCACACTGCTGGCCCCGCCCAGCCCTGCTGACCACTTAGGACATGCGTGTCTGTTTTCTTGCTCAATGTCTCTCCAACTAGGATGCTAGCTGTCGGTGGGCAGGCAGTGGGGCTGTTTTATACCCCTTGCTGCCCCGGGCTTGTCTAGCGCAATGTGTCACTTAGCGTGTGACAGTATGTCAATGAAAGGATGGCAGACCACATTATGTTGTAAGCTTCTTTGATGATTTAGTGGCAAGAAAGCCACTTCTTCAAGAGGCCCCCCTGTTTCTTTTCTGCCTATATATGAGCACTCATTTCAGCAGAGGCATGTGAGCGAGGCCACGCAGTGGGTCCATGGGGCCGGAGGGGGTATCGGCTCCAGGCAGCAAAAGACTGAGTCAGGAGCAGGCCAAGACAACGGGAACACAGAGCCATAATTTAATCAAGGACCTGTCAATCAATCAGTTATTAATTGCCAAGCAAATATTGAGTGAGACCCTCCCACATGGTTATCTTTAGGTAAATAGTTAATCAAATTCCATGAATCCTTCGAAGGCCTGATGCCCGAGCATCCTCTTCCAGGAAGTCCTCCGGATTGCTTTGGTCCCTTTGACACTTTTCCTTTCCTTCTCAACTCCACTCTAGTTGGTGCCTTTTGTGCCAACCAGCTCCTTCACTCCAACCCAGGGCTCTTACCTTGAAGGGAGGTGTTAGAGGTGAAGGGGCAGGCCAAGACGGCCACCTGGCCCTGAGGGGTGGCCGGCCAGCAGGTGACGTTGTCCCACATCTTGCTGCAGCCTGGGGGGTAAAAGTAGGGGGTGCATGGGTCAGCATGCCCACTGGGTGCCTCCAGACTCTCTTCCTTCTCCTCCAGGCTCCCACCTCCAGGAGCCTGTGGTCGAGGGGGAGGCACAGCCCTGCTGGGCTGTACAGAGCCTGTCCTGAGGAGGAGTGGAGAGGAGGCATGACTAAACTCCATGCTTCTCAGTGAGGGACAGAGCGCCCCCTGGAGGTGTTTTGAAGAGTAGTGGGGGGATTCCTTTTTTGCAGATTGGTGTCTGATGCCTCGATTTGATGGGCAGGACCCAGGTCCGGCAGGGCCCTGCACAGTGAGGAAATACAGAGCTTCTGCAAGGCTTTCAGATAAATGAGTGAGTGGGCATTCGTGCTGGTGATGACCACAGCCTGGACTCTTACTCCATTTCACACTCCATTACTCCATTTGGCACACAGCACTTCAGGTGCATTTAACATATACCCGTTTTCCCGGCGCGAAACTACTGAGTCCAGAGAGGGAAGACTGGGCGTTGGCACGTGGCTCAGTGCTTCGCAAGATCACGTCACCTGCAGTGATGCCGCCTGAGCCAACGGTGCAACCGCTGCAACAGCCGCCTACAGCTACGGTTCTCCCATTCCCTGAACTTACCTTTATAGGCACAACCTTAGACTGTGCTTTCTTATCTTGCAGTGTGATCGGGCCCGGATATGTAGATAGCATCTTATTATACAGGACTTCCCCTTTGATTTTTTCTTTGAACATCGTTTTTTAAAAACTGCATGTGTGTGTCCTGAATTTCACTTTGTAATGGTAAAGGAGGCACCAGATATTATATTTTATAAAAAGGAGGTTTGTTTACGATGGGGTGCTGGATATCCTGGGGTTCAGCTAGTTCTTGAGGGGTCTTCAAACAGCTCTTGAAGCGATACAATGCCCTCAGTGGGGGCGAATTGGGGATTGTGGTGGGGGTGGGGTGGTGCTCGGGGTTGAGTATGGGGAAGACCCCACTCACAGGCTGGGTTCTCCAGCACATACGATTAGCCCGAGGACCTGGCTGGTGAGGGGAGCACAAAGGGGTCTCTCGGAGCCTGCTTTCGTAGGCAGATGTGAATGCAATGGTTTTGCTTGCTCAGGGTCTGAGCAGTCCACCCAGGGTCTGGGTGCCTCTCGGGGACTAAGGCTCCTCTGGACCCCCTCCCCCGAGGGAGGTTTAATTGTCTCCTTACAACCCTGCCAGTCCCATGGATTTGCTCAGGAAACCCAACCCTTGAGCCAAAGTCAATGAAAGCTGGGCCAAGCCCAGCCCAGCCCAAGTCCGAAGGTTCACCAGTTCCCAAGCAGGGGGCCTGGGAAGAAAAGGTGGAAGGAAGTCCTCACTTGAGGAAGAGCTTCGGAAATCTGAGTGCTTGAGTGGGCTGGCAGCGGGGCGGGGCACCTTCCAGGCCTGCAGTAGCCAAGTGGTACCTGCTGCTGAGGGCTGAGAACACCTGGATTCCCAGGGCCTGCCGAGAGCACCACCTGTGTTCCTTGGGGAGCCCAGAGCTCCCGCCCCACCCTGTCCCGAGGCTACTGTTGCCTCACTGGCTCCCAGTTCCTCCTTCGTTCCTGTGCCAGCCTCTGGAGGCCACGTAGGGGACATTCAGGCCAGTCAATCCTGATGGCTGTTAAAGCCCATTAATAACATCAGCTGAAACTTCCGTAGCCTTTAGAAGTGGGAGGTACCGTTCCACCCTCTTTTAATGAAGGGCTGAGTTAACCCTCCCAGTTTACAAATGAGTTACTGAAGCAGAGCGCAGCTGGGGAAGTAGCTCCGGGGCGTGTGGTGTTGCCCGTTCACCTCTCACGCTCCTGTGCTGAATGGCTTGCTGCTGATTCTCTGGGAGTTTTGATCTGACAGTGCTGGGCACACCCTGTTTTGCAGGCTGGCTGCTGTGTCTGGCTCCTCACCACACTTTGGCTCTCTGGGGCTCCAGGTGCAGCACAGGCTGGGGAATAGATTTGGAGCTGGGTGCCCAGCCCTGAGCTCGGTTTCACCAGAGGCAGCACAGAGGACAGGGACATCAGGACCTGTCATGCCCAGGTCATGCTTGGCCTCAAGGAATCTCAGCACCAGCAGGCTGGGCTGTGAGCCGTGCAGGGCACAGGCCAGTGGGCTGGGTGGCGAGTCAGGGAAGAGAGGCCAGTAGGGGCGCGTGGGCCGGGAAGCTTCCTGCAGGAGGCGGCGGGGTCCGGGAGCAGAGGAGAGGGTGGCACGCACAACTCTCCGACACAGGGCTGGGCACCTGGAAGGCCTGCTGTCCTGGGCTGGGCCCTGGGAGTACTTTCTGTGTGCCCGCCCCACGGAGAGCCCTGGGATTCCACAGTGTGTGTCACTGGGCCCACTGAGACCCAGGGCCCAGGCTGGCTGTGTGTACTCACTGGGGGCCACCTCAACGGGAAAGAAAGCCCAATCCAGGGCCGGGGGTGGGGGATGCTGAGGCAGAGTGGGGGCCCATGCTGGGTCATTCACAGACCTGTGTTCATAGAAGGGGGTCACACTGACTGACAGGCACTCCCAGGAACCCAGAACCATAGACGCACATGCAAACATCCATACATGTACGCTTACATGGACTTGAAAAGACCAGACACAGGTAAACACAAGCATGGAGATGTGTACAACTCACAGACACACATGCACAGACACGACGGCGTGCCACAGACATTCACAGTGACACACACACATGCACCAGGCAGCGTCCAGGCTCCGCAGACACGCAAAGACACCCAGAGTCAGACATGGAGCTACAGGCGCCAGAGGGGCAGCCACAGAACCGGACAGGCTTGGGCCAGGAGCACGCTCTGGAATGTGCTGGGACACACACAGAGCCCCGCAAGGTCGTGGGCGGACTTGCCACCCACTGACCCATATCTGCCCTCCTCCGGATCCCAAGCCGGCTGCCTGGTGACAGGGTGTTTGTTGGCACCTGACAGGTACCTTGTGCCAGGCATGACCTCATCAGGATCACGAGGGTGGCCTGGCACAGGGCCTGGGAGGAATGCGGGGTCCGGGGTCTGGGCTTCTCTGAGTGTCCGTGGCCCCGGATCCCACCACCGGGGCCTCTGAGGCCCACCTTCAGCCTGGTCCTGCCGCCCCACCTTGGCAGGTGCACAAGCAATGGGCGGTCCTCCTACCCCTCCACCCAGACCTCCATCTCAGGGGCCTGGGAGGCCGCCCTTCCTTGAGAGCCAGGGGAGGCAAAGGCCATGGGCAAAGCCACCCACACTCTCCTTGGGGGCAGGAGGCAGAGAGCCTGGGCACCAGGGCCAGGGAAGGTTACATAACTGTCAGCCTCAGAGGTGGCAGGGGACTGGGGAGCCAGGAAGACTCCCCAGTTAAAGATGGGGAGGACACCCAGCTAAAGATGTTCCCTGCTCCTGAGTAAGGTGGTCACAGAACCTGAAGCTGGGCCTCCGGGAGGGGACGTGGGAGGGAGGCCCGGGCAGGCACAGCCACCCCTGGGCCTCCAGGCCTCCCCCTCCCTCTCAGCAGGCCAGGGACCCCACGGCCACGCCCCCGCCCCCGCCCCCCAGGACAGTCTCTCTGTGCCTCCTGCCCCCCAGCCTCCGTGCATCTCCCAATCCTGCCCACCCTCTGAGTCCACCCAGTGGGCACCTGTCAGAGGAGCACTGTGTACTTCCTCATTCCCACTTCAAAGGGCCAAGTGTGGTATACCTGGGGTGTGGGGGGGCAGAGTGAAGGGGGGAGGGTGCTGTCATCTGATCTGATGGCCCTGCCGGGTCTGGGCAGCTGGGCAGCATCCATCTGCGGGGGCCCCTGGCACCACTGTTCACCTCACCAGGCTGGGGCCCCCCACTCCCCGCCCTACAGACGAGGAGTGGCTGGGCCCCACAGGCTCAGCCTCAGAGTCCGACCTCGACTCGTCTAATCAGCAGGGTAACGAGCTGATAGTTCATCTGGCCTGTGGAGGGTGGGCCGGGGTGGGGAGGTCAGTGTGTCTGTCTAGGGGCCTGTGGTATCATGTCACCTCTGGGTGTCATGTTGTCAAAGCCTAGGGTTGGGAGGAAGGACCTCAGTCTCCAGCCCCGCCCTGTGGTGAGTATTCAAGACCTCTGCAGACTAGCTTGGTGGCCCTTCTTGCTCTAGCCTGCCAAAATGGTTTTGAACTTCCATGTGGTCCCTGTGGCGGTCATGCACCGTCACGGAATGTCCTCCACTCTCCTGCCGAGATGCTAAGAGTACAGTGGTTTAGTCCTGGAGTGTGGTGTTCTGGGGCCGGTTCTCTCCATCTCAGCTCCCTCTCAGCTGGAGGCCAAGGAACCCGACCTGGAAGCGCTCCTCCCAGTGAGCTACTCAGCCATCCTCATTGTCACTGGCCCCCACCAGGCAGTGCCCTGGTCCTCCGGTTCTGGGCAGGCTGGCAGCCATGGGCATCATCCCCACTTCTCCTGGAGGAAAGGGGTAGGGACCCCCAAAGGCACAGTCGGCTGCATTCACTTTTCTGAACCCCAATTTGTATGCTCTCCCCAGGTAACAGCTGGGAGCTCCCAGGCCTGGGCTGGGTGCTGGGAACATGGAGGCCTGTTGGTGCCTTCTTTCTCTTTGACTCCCTGACTTCTCCCGGCATCCTGTCCTTGCCCCGCAGCAGCTCCCCAGCTCCTCGGTGCTACCCTCTCCAATAAGTGTGCAACGAGTGGGACTTGGACCTGGGCCCTTGGGTGAGGGGGAGCCGGGCTCTGTGGGGGTCAGCGGCGCCTCTCTTCCTCTGGGGGCGTGGAGGGAGCTCACCTGCTGTGTCGTTCTCCGCTGGGGCCTCCTCCAGACACTGCTGGTGCTCTGCCTCCATCATCTGCATGTAGTCACACACCTCCCATTTCGACTTGACCACCCAGCCACTCTGGGGGACAGAGACAGGGAGGGGACCCGTCAGCCTCGTCTGTGGCCCACATCTTATGCACAGGCTCCAGGAGCATGGGTCAAACAAGGCCTGACCCCGACCTGGGTCTGACCCAAACCCTGTTCCTTGTCCCCACAGCTTGGTCTGCTTTGAGGACCCTGTCATGGCTTCTTGGTGGCTCCCCCAACAGTGTGGTGGCTATAACAATTTTGTCTCTGCAGGTAGCACGACCTGGACAGAGGTGGGAGGGACTCTTCTCGGAGCCCAGAGCTGGCCCGCGGGACTCTGCCACTATCCAGCTTGGTGGGAGGGCTGGGAGTCCTCTGTCCCTGCCTCAGTCCCTATGGCTGGGTGGGGCTCAGGGAGTGCTACCTCATTCCAGGAGTTAGAGCCAGCCCTGGGAGGAGTCCAGGAGTCTGGCTGAGTCTTGCAGCCTCTGTCCCCATCTGGGAGCCTGTGCTCAGTCCCCTGGGTCACCAGCTAGGAAGGGCACACTAGCCCTCTTCGCCCAGACCTCAACTGCCTCCTTCTTAGCTTTTGAATAATTCAAGTAAATCAGACCCAAAGTGAGGGGCTGGGGAGCTAAGAGAAGGCCTTCCGGGTTGGCTCATCATCCTGCCAGGGTCCTCTGCCTCTGGGAAGTGGGGAGGGAGAAGAGATGAGGAAGCTCAAGCTCCTCCCCTTCCCTCCCCTGCCCTGTAGCTGGGACCAGCCCTGCATGCCAGGGGGACACCGGCACTGGAGCTGACATGGGAGTAGGGGCGATGGATGCCCAGGAACAGCCAGAAAACTGGGGGCCACTGGGTGGCAAAGGGCAGGTGAAACTCTCGGAGGAACCGCTGGGCTGGTGGCAGCTTCCGCCTGCCTCCTGTGGCTGTTGCCCCCGGCAACTCCTTGCCGGGTTCCTCATCTCTGCCTCGGAAGAGAACGTCACAGTCCCAAACAGGGACTAGGGGAGAGACCAGCAAGACTGCTCCAGAATCAGAGATTCTCAGCGTCTCTTCCAACTTGTCCTCCCTGCCCTGGGACAAGGTCTTCACCTCCTTGGGCCTCAGTTTCCCTGCAGGCTAAATGGGCCTGAAACACCTCCGCTGCTGACTCAAAGGGTTCTCGCAGTGGCGCTGTGGGGAGACACAGATCGGAGGGGTTTCCCCTTATTTCCTTCTTTTAAGGGGGTCGCCATCTAGCCTGTGGGCACCAAGAGTGTGACTCTGACCACAGCTGTAAGTGAGTCAACCCCGCTGAGGGACAAGCGCCCGCATGCCAGTCAGCTAGCTCCCCACTGCTATAGAGGGAGGGGGTCCAAGCAGAAGCTGGACAGCTCAGTGTCCAGGGGCCACACAGCCGAGTCCCTTCCACCTCAACAGCTCTCTCATCTCTCGCTGAAGGCTTCAGTGGAGCCTCATTGCCACAGAGGTCCCCACCTTTCCCAGCTTAGCGCCACAGCTGGCCGAGCTGAGGTCCACGGGAAGGCCTCGTCCAGAATGTGTTTCAAACCCGCCAGCATCCATTCCTCCCTCACCCATGTGCCACAGGCCTGGAAGCCACACAGAGACCGTGGCTTCCATCTCGGACCATTAACTTTACCCGCCAACTACAGCAAAGACATTAGCTGGCACGTCATTTAAAACTCGGCATGTTGAAAGTAACGCGATCTACTATGGAAAGGATATAGTTATTTGTATAATTGTTTAAAAGAAAGGATATGAGGCCTCAAGGAAATGCGCTGTGGCCCCTCTTTGGGGTCGCGTGCTTCCTCTCTTGCCCGTAGGGTTTTCCAGACTGAAACACTCCAGACGCCCCGCCTGGAGGGATCTGTGGCTGGCCCAGCCATGGGAAGGGGGTGGCCAGATGGATCTTGGAGGCGGCCTCTGGAAGAGGAACCTGGGGACTGGCCACCCGAGCGTGTGTCCCACCAACTTGCCTGCTGAGTTGGTGCTTCTCTGCAGAGTCCCTCCTCAGGCCTATTGTCCTCTGTCAGTAGGGTTCACTCTGTCTCCTGGTCCCTTCCCAGCCTTCCCTGCTTCTCCCGCCCATTCTCACCTCTTATCTCCCACATCGTGGAGGGTGGTAGTGGACAACATCTATCGCTGCTGCCCTCTGCCATCCTCCACCCTCCTCTGGTGCCATGTCCTCGTCTCTGTCCAGGGAACCACCTTCTTCCCCACTCCCAGTTCACGGGTTCTAATGACCTCTCTTCTAGGGAGTCAACCCATGACTAGACTTGAGCCCGTCAGAGTGTTCCTGTCCACGGTGTCTGGCACGTGGGCCACGTCAGGCTGTTTGCAGTGAGGAGGCTCATTCCTGGGACTCTGGATTAAGCAATTAGGCAAGTGGATTTGTTCTTTCCCACTGGACTGGAAACCTCAAGGGATGCAGGGGCTGAAGCTACTGCTACCTTCTTGTCACGACACAGTGTGGCACCACACCAAGTGGAACACAGTGACAAAGGCCACACAGCTAATGTCTGAAGAGAGAGATGGAGAAACATTGGGTCCTCCTGACATGGCCTGAGCCCCTGAAGGCAGCCATGCCCGAAACCAGTCCTGCTTCCAGCAACGTGAATCAATCAATACCTTTCTTTACAACTCAAGCCAGTTGAGGTTTCTGTCCCTGTAATCAAAAGAGTTTGACCAATAACGTTTCTCTTCCAATCACTGAGGGAGCCAAAGGATTCCTGGCGACCTCTGCCTGTCGGCAAAGGGTGGGGGGCGGTGTTGGGCCAGCTGCTCTTGCCATCTCTGTTCGCCCCACCTCAGCAGCACAGTCATGGAGCTCTTCCTGAGGGGCAGCTTGGAGAGGGGGATAGGAACCCCCGGAGTGACCTGGGATTCCGGGGTGTCTCTGAAAAAAGTGAGGGTGGTCTGGAAGATGAACCCCGACCTTATCACAATGTAGTTGGGTGCTGGGCTCCGTCTGGAGAAGGGCAGAGGAGATAGAGACCCAAAGACGGCTGAGGTCACCCAGAAAAGGCACAGTCCCAGAAGGGGCCGGAATCTCTGACCACTAATCTGGACTATGTCAATCCTTCTCTACCGCCTCGTTTTGGGGCATCTGGTCAACCATTGCTCTTTGGGGTTTGGGGCCAGGGCAGCTCCCTCTAGCCCTTATCACTGAGGAATTCGGGCAAACTTTGGACTTCCTCTTCCACTTATTTCCGCATTCTAAACATCCTCATTATCCCTCTGGACTCCAGACACACAAAGCTGGAAAATTCCTAGCTGGATACAGGCAAGCCTGCTGATCTATGGAAGGCTTCCAGGGTAGGATACAGCCGGGGTGTGGACTTCATAGAGAATGGGTAGTAGAGATTGGGAGGGCCTTTCAGAATGGGTAGGAGCTGGACCATTAGAGGTGGAGTAAGAATATTCCAGAAAATAGGAGCCGTGTGTACGGAAGCAGGGAGGCATAAAAACGCTTAACACGTTCAAGGTTGTAAGAGGCCTGGTGCCACTGCATCAAGGAAGGGGCCCCGGAGGCGCCAGGAGACAAGCTGGGAGATACAAATAAGGGCCAGACCTCATCGATGCCGCCTGAGCGGGTACGGTGGTTTTCAGCCCCGACAACTACACCCTGAGGGATCGTTACATCACGTGTCTCCCTGTCCTCATTCTCCTGCCTCTGATGGTTCCCATGGCCTGGGAGTCAAAGGCCATACTTCAAAACTGCCATTCAAGGCCCTTCCTAATCCTCCCAATGCCTGTATCTCCCAACGTGTCTCTTGACAACCCATGCAGGGAAGAGGAAGCAGGGCTTCCTCCCAAGCCCTCACTAATTCCTGTGCTGGGCTGAGCTCCAAGAGAGCTTAAAGTCAGCCTGACCTTGCAATTGGGTTTGAGGCTAGGCAGTTCCAGGACATCCTGGGTCCTCAGCGCCTTCTCTACAATAGGAGTTCCTGAGCCCAAAAGGGACCAAGGCAAGAGTGGGCCAGCCCACAGCACCTCTTCAGTCCTGGTCCTCCGTGTCCCCTGCCATGGTGTTGGAGGGATGTGGGAGGTAACTGACAGGAAGTCTGAGTCTCTGGTTGGGGTTTGGGATTAACCAAAATTTGTTAATCCCACCTGCTCAGCTGAGCCCCCTCCTCTCTATGCCCATTGTGAGGGGCTTGGAAGAAAGCCCTGCCTTCTCCTCTCCATGTGGGGCTCTTGAGATTTGGGGCACAGGCCGGAGAGGCTGAAGGTGTTGGGAGTTGAAGCTCTTAGATGCTAGGGGCTCAGAAAGACAGGGTGGGCCCAGCTCACACACTGTGGGCCATAGCCAGTCCCTTCCAGGGCAGCCTGAGACCACAGCAGCTGGCCTTGAACCAGAAGCCCTGGGGCTGGAAAACTATCGCAGGAGGAGCCACGGGAGACAGAAGCAGCCAGGGTAACGGGAGCCCTTCTGAGGAGCAGCTGGTCTCAGAAGTGTCGAAACTGAAGCAGCCTGGATTAGGTGAGACAGCAGAAAGAACTTCCTGACTGCAAATTACCAAGCACTGGGAGCCACAGTGGTTGATTTGTGCTTCTGAAGTTGGTCCAAAGAGGGTTTTTCCCTGTTGGGGATGGTTGGAGGAGGCTTAGGACTGAGAAGTTGAGGTTACAGGGCTCAGGAGCCCCTTCCCCTTCCCCCACTACCATTTCCTACCCCACGATTTATTTAAGCTCACCCCAATGGAAGTAACAGGCAGGCAGCAAAGAGTCACGGGGGGAAACTGAGGGCCCAGGAAGAATGGAACACGGGACTGCAAGCCAGCTTCCCAGGTACTCCCTTCACCGTGGCTTTTGTGTTCAGGTTGGTAAGGAGATGGAGACTCACCTCGGAGGAGGCAGGGGCGAGGGACGGAGCGGGAGGAGAGAGGCTGGGCATGACGTGAGGTGAGGGAAGGTGAGGTAGAGGATGGAATGCAGACGTCATGAAAAGCAGTTGAAATCAGACCTCATCTTCTTGGGAAGGGGCACAAGGGAGACTTTGGGGGTGGTCATAGGAATTGTCAACACTTGATCTGGGTGATGGCTGCAATGGTACACACGTGTGTGACAATTCCCCGAGCCATCACTTCGTATTTGTGCATTTCACTCAGTGTCTGACCCACTGACACGGGCAGCTGTACCCACCAGAGGAGAGGTCTCCAGTCCGGGAGTCCCCCCCCCCCCACCGTGGTCCTTTCTGTTCCTTGCCCTGTATTTTTACAGCTTTTTGCCAACAATCCGAATCTTCCCTGCTCTGCAAACCCACAGTTTGCCGACCACACCTGCCCTTGGGGAGGGCAGAGTTCTGGCTGGTAGGAAAGTGGAATGAGAATTCGTGAGTGAGCAGAGCGGGGTGGTGAGGAAGAGGAGGAGACACAGAGATGCAAGTGTGCAGTTGGGGGGGAAGAACTTTGCACACTCAGAGTGGTACCAGGACAAGGGCTCCTGCTACTAGAGAAGGCAGGCGAAGCCTGGGTTCAGCTTGGGGTTAAGCTTGGTCCCATCTAAGGGCTTTCCCTGAAAGCTTTGCTCAGGGGGGCGTGGAGTCTCTCAGGATTTCTTTGCAGACAATTACGGCGGAGAGGGACAGGGAAGCAGAGGACACTGGGGCCTCAGCTTTAAATCCTCTGCCCCTTGAAAGTCCTCTTGGGCAGCCCTAGGGAGAGAGGACTCAGTTTACAAACATGGTGTCCGTGGGTGATGTTGGTGCTGGGGACACCTGCCGAGGGCTGGGTACCAGAACAGTGAGCCACAGGGCTGTGGGTCCTCAAGACACAGACAGGGCTTGGCGTGACCTCTTTCCCTCCTCTGACCACCCGCTGTGCAGGGAGAACTTGCTTCTGAGAGAGTAAGAGGCACTTCTGAGAGATATGGGGACACATCACAAGCCACACGAGAGGGGGTGCAGAGAAAGGTGGGCCTGGTGGGGAAGCCCATCAGGACACAGGTGGGGCAGCCCTTCGAAGTGAGCCCCAAACCCTGATAATGGCACCACTCCTCCAGTGAGGCGTGACTCAGCGCTTTTTGGGGAGATTTGAATATTAAAGAACACTGTTAATTTTGTTCCTTCTGATGATGGCCTCGTAGTTCTATAGGAAAATGTCCTTCAGTTTTAGAGATTCATCTTAAAATCATTTGGGGTAAAAGGTCATGGTGTTTATAATGTATCTCAAAATATTTCAACCAAAAAAAGCAAATGATGTAAATATTAATTTTTAAAGGCTAATTACCATCAAAACTAGGAATTGGGAGGGAGGGGGTGCCAGAAACTCCTATACTGACATTTTTCTGATGTTACTCCAAAGGAATGGGCATTTCCATGTTCATTATACTATTTTCTACTTTTTTGGGCATGTTTGAAATTTCCCAAATAAAGAAACCCCGTCATGTGGTGGAGAGATTCGGTTGCACTTGACTCTCCTTTTCTGAAATGTTGTCTAAGGTATGCAAGGGTTTCCACATACTATATATTTTCCCAGGTGCAGTGACAGCGGCTTTGTGTTGTAAAGTCACACTGGGGAGACCCAGGGCAGCTTGCTCTTCCAGCACAGGCCCTGCGGGCCCTGGACAGGCCTCCCCGAGGGGGTCACTTCGCTGGAAGAGGGGGCCTGGCCTCGCTGCAGCCACACTTCCTAAAACCCATGGTGGGGCTGGGAAGGCCCAGGCAGCTGTGGACAGCCTCTGGAGAGCCGAGAAGCAGATGGCTGGGGCAGGATGCCCACGGTGGGGTGAGGCCTTCAGGAGCAGGTGGGAGCCAAGCCTCCCCCAATCCCTGGTCCATGCTGCCTCTGGGAGAACTTGGGGGCTCCCTCTTCCTTCTGGGGTCAGGCCCACTGGTCCTGCCAATGGATGCTGTTTTATGAAGTTAAGTGGAAGTTTGGCCCATTTTGCAGAACTCTTCAAAGCATTGTCCAGCCTCCTCCAGGGAGCCCTCCCTGACTGCTCATCTCAGAGACCCAGCTCTGGGAGGCTGCACCCCACATCCACCCAGGCTCTCTTTCTTGGGCCACTGGCCCTGCTCTTTCCTATCAGCCTGAGAATCTTCCTGGGGCAAGGCCTAGTGCCCCTCCTCTGTGACACCCCCCCCCCCCATTGGGCTGGGCATTGCCTGGAGCAGCTCTGCCACCAGTGAGGAGCCCAGGTGCCTGCTGTCCTGGGGGTGGGGGGAGCAGAGGAGGTGAGGTGGGGGGGGGAGTGGAAGCCCTGACCGGTAGCCTTGGGGCAGACTTCCTCTTCTGAGACATGAGATTTTCTTCCCTTTTTTTGCTTCCCTGTTCAGAGATTTCCCCCTTCCAGGCTGAGGTCAGGGCACCATAAACAGAAGTGATAAGGCCTTGGGCCTTCAAACTGAACTTTGCAGCTGCCATTTTATGGCTCTGATAATGCCGGCCCCCACCACCCCCGAGGCCCCCACCACCCCCGAGGCCTGCTGGAGCAGGACTGCCTGATGTCCATTCAGTGTGGGAGCAAGTGGCTGGTGGGGAGACGCAGAGGGCGCTGGGACCCCTCTCTCCAGCCTGCCCTCACCCCGTCCTGGCTGAGTGCCTTCTCCTTCCTCTTGGGCCCAGCCCTGCACTGGGTGGGGGGAGACCGAAGCCCTTGATCCCATGAGATGATCAGAAAAGCCCAGGCTGGGAGGTGAGTGGGGCTGCAGGGTGTTGTCAGAGATGAGAGGGCTGAGTGGGCTGGAGCAAGCAGGGAAGGCCGCCTGCAGGAGGAGCTGGCGCTGTGTACAAAGGGAACGGCATGGGGAAAGACAGGGCAGGACAGGCACTGGAGGAGCCAGACTCCGACTGTCTCAAGAGACCTTCTCGGCACCCTGGAGCCTGGCTGAGAGCCTCCAGGGATGGGCAAGTGGGGTGCCATGGGTGGTCCCAAGATGCCCGTCCCGTCCAAGGAGAATTGCAGTGGTCAGAGACCTGGGTTGGGAGAGCCCGGGGGCTGTTGGTGACGCTGGAGGCTCTGTGACACTGAGGGGCTGTGCGTGGTGCCCAAGCTGTGGCCTCAGGCCCTGAACTTGGTGGGGCTTGTTGTGCTCAGGAGGTGGGGTTCAGGGATAGCAGCGGAAGAAGGGGAAGCTTTTGTCAATGGTCAGAAGGGGTGCTCCCACCCTGGCTGGGGTGGCTCAGTGGATTGAGCACGGGCCTGCGAACAGAGTATCGCGGTTCGATTCCCAGTCAGGGCACATGCCTTGGTTGCAGGCCAGTTCCCAGCAGGGGATGCACGAGAGGCAACTATACATTGATACTTCTCTCCCTCTCTCCTTCCCTTCCCCTCTAAAGATAAATAAATAAATAAAATTAGAAAAAAAAAGAAGATCTGCTCCCAAGACAGGCAATGAGCACCCCACCCTCAGGGTGTGCAAGACATCAGCAGATGGAAGCGGAGATTCCCCCCCCTGGTGGAGATGACGGTGAAGGAGGAGGACGAGACTAGACCGACATAGCCCACCCTCCCACCTGCGGGCCTGGAGCTGGCGCTAGACCTGGAGCCCCCCCCTGCCCCCCCCCCGGGGGGCAGTTAGGTTCTGCACAAGCTGCAAGCCCTGATTCCTCAAGTCCTGGGGCAGGGGTAGGGAGAAAACAGACCTCCATCCAGGTCTGACCCGTAGGAGACAGGGATGGCTCCAGGGCAGATTCCGTGAGTCTTGAGGTCTTCCCTGATCTTAGAGGGAGGGGGTCCATACGTCTCCTGCTTCAACCGGGATCTGCCAGACTCGGGGAGCGAGACATCCACAGACACTCAGGGGCACAGCCACGCTCGGGGCGTACTGGCACAGGTCAGGGCACTCACATACCCTCGCGGGGATGCAGCAGAGGGGGGAGGAGGAGGAGGCCACTGCTTGTTGGCCACTTGCTCCTTGTCAGCTCCCCCGGCTCTGGTCCTTGCTGCTAAACACCCCCCAACCCCTTACTGCCCACTACCTTCCACCTTTTGCTCCCTACCTTTCACCTTTGCTCAGAGAGAGGACATAGGAAGGGTCGGCTCGTCCTCCACTTCATCCTCAAAGTCCCTTCCCAGGTCCTGGGGTCCCCAGTGCTGGATCTGCTGCTGAGACGTCACTCCTCCATGTAACACACAACGCCCCGCAAATACCTCTGAACTGGCACCGCCCACAGCGACGACCCGCACAGCCTGCCTCCCACTCACCGTTTACTAGACCGTCTATTTCAATCAACCACAGACCCTAACCCTGCACCGACTGACCTTCCAGCCCCACGCACACCCGCAGCCACAACCCGGAAGGCAAGTGTGGAGCCCGCTGGCATCCACCGTCCCCCACCCCGCCACCGGTGTTCTAGATCGCGCGGAGCGGGCTCCAGACAGTGCTGGGGGAGACCAGGGGCGACCGAGACCCCTCCCCTCGGGTCTAGATCCGGTTTGAGGCGGAGCGGAGAGGCGAGACCGGGTCTTCCGAGCCCTTACTCCTCTCACACAGGCGTGCGCACAGACAGCCGGTCTCCCGCCGCCCCCACTCCACCCCCAGTTGCCGGGATTCCGGGCGGCCCGGTAGGCACTCACCGTGGGGCAGAGGGCGCATGCGAGGGCGCCGGCCAGCAAGCAGAGCCAGCGGACCTGCAGGTGGCTCGGCGGGCGCATGGTGCGCCCTGAGCTCGCGCCGGGCGGCCCTACGCCGGTAATGCGCGGGCGGACGGCGCACCGCGCGGCCGACGGCTGGAAGCTTGGCAGAGGGAGCTGCCGTGGTGGCCCCAGCATTAAGAGACGCCCAACGGGGCTGGGGGCGGGACCCGGGGGCTCGGCTGAAGGGCGGCGGGTCCAGCCAATGGACCGGCAGAGGCGGGACTTCGGCGCAGGTGTGGGCGGGGCTGGGGGCACCCCGCGAGTCGGGTGTCCCTGGGTTCCCTCCTCCCAACCCCTACGTCAGTCCCGAGTGTCCGGGCATTGACAGCCCTTCGCCTCCGCGACTGCATCCCGGGAGTCTCGAGACCCTAATAGTCCTCATTCATCTCCGATTGGCTCACCAGATTTCCAGGCGCCGGGCTGCCAAGTTCCGTCCGGTTCGCCCCCCAGCCCCGCCCCAGGGCGCTTTGCCAGTCCACCTTCCCAGCCACCGGAGTCCCCTCGGCCAGCTTCCCCGTTTCCCACTTAGCCCCTCGGAGGGCTGGTGCGGGCGGGCTGGACCACGATACAGGACAGGACTCTTATCCCCCAGGTTGCCGGCTGCCGGGCCTGCGTGTAGGGTCCTGGGCTGCAAGATTCGGAGTAAGTGGGCGCGTTGTTTGTTCATCCCTCGCGCGGGACAGGCCCCGCGAAGGCAAGCAAAGGAGCGAGTGAGGCCCGACTCTGGGTTCCTCTGTACCTCCCAGGGCCCAGGCGACCTGGAAGGGCGCACTAGGCACCGGCTGACCCGCTCCAGCCGATACAGTGCGTCCGCGCCCTCGCGCATTTCGGCCGGGGCACCTCCTGAGCGAGGCTGGGCCTAAGTTCCAGCGCCTCCACGCGGGGAGGGAAGGTCGGTTCCCTGCGCGCCGGCTCTGACTCTGCGCAGCCGATCTAACACCAGGGACCTTGTCCTCCTCCTGCCCGACCTATTTTACAGCCCGGGAAACTGAGGTCCAGAGAAAGATGCGGACCCGGGCCTCTCGCCTCTGGTGTCTGGTTTCCAAGACTCGGCGGGCGGCCACTGAGTGACACCGGGCCAGCCTGCCTCCAGCGCGCTGCCACAGAGCTCAGTTTATTCGTGTCTAGAGCGCATCTTGTGGACCGGGCGCAGGTGACTGCTTTGCCTTCTTTTTGAGGGCTCGAGATGGCGACGGCTGTAGCGGCAGGAGCGGGTGTATTATAAATATGAGAGACAGATGCAGGGCGGGGTTAGTGGAGAGACGGAGAGAGCCGCCCGGCCCCTGCGCTTTGAGGGATGTGCGGCTGTTTAGGCGCTGGCTGACCAGCACGTGTGTGGGAGTTCCCTGCGGACCCACCCAGGCTTCGCTGCCTGTGGCTCGGGAAGCTCAGACCACTGACTTTCCAGAATGGAGTTAGGGAGTCAGGGAAAAGCTGGGGCAGGATGAGGGCCCAGCCCTTCTCGATTTTGGGCTTCCTGCTCTCCCTCCCTTCCCTGCCTCTCTCCCTCCCTTCCCTGCCTCTCTCCCTCCTCCCTACCCATGCCTCCTTCCTACCCTCGCTCCCACCTCTCCTTCTTTGTGTAGACTCTGCTCTGCCCGGGGCACAAAGATGGGTAAGACCGGGGCACCTCTTGTTGGAGGAAGACCTGGGGAGCTATGGTACCTCCCACAGTTGCCACCTCCTTCCAGATAGAATGAATGAGTCTGGCTTAGGCCCTTCCCCAGACAGGGGAAAACTGGGAGATGCCTTTGCCCTGGCCATTCTGAGGTTTGGACCCAGCCCCTCCCTGGAGGAAGTGTTTGGAAAATCACCAGCCACGTGCTCAGCCATCCCCACTTCTGGGGGCCGGGTTAGGCTCAGAAGCCAGGAGTCCTTGCTTCCCCTTGTGTCCCCAACAGCCTCCCTCTGTGTCCCTCTTTTCAGGCCTCCATTCTCCAGCAGGACAGTGGCATCGTGTCCTTCGTCTGGGGAGTTGTCTCGGCTGGCACAGTGTCCTCAGACTCCAGGATGAGTGACAGATCCAGGGGCTCTGGCTCTCATAAACCCTGCCCACTCTCCCTCCACACACACACAACCTAGCCAGCTGCAGAAGGCTGAAATCCCACCGCTAGTGCTTGTCCCCGCTGGGCTGGTGAGGTTCTGCACTCACTCTCCGAGGGCAGGGATCTGGGTACTGGAGTGGTGAGGGGTGAGGATTGGGGGAGAGCAGGGAGCCAGACCCCCGTTTGGCACCTGACCTTCTGGGGAGGGGTGGGAAATCTTAAAGCCTCCAGCGGGGGATGGGCTGCCTCTCTCCTCTTTTTCTGGAGGGTGGTCTACAAGAAACCTCCTCTGGGCTCAGGGCCGTGGGGGCTCAGGCTGCAGGCAGCAGGAGCGACCGGCTGGGCCTCAGGATACTCACCCAGTCCCCGGCTCCCAGGAGGGAAGTGGAGACAGAGGGGAGAATAGTTTCCTTGCAGATCCTTTGTGACAAAAATTACTTCTCTGTTCTGTCAGAATTGTTCTCCTGGGGGACCCACCCTTCCGTACCTATCAAAAAGCACAAAATAATCCAGAAGCTAGAGAAAAAAGAAAACCACAAAAGCAAACAAACCCAAGGCTAAAATGGACCATATTTCAACCAATTGTTGCTGAATGTCCAGTGCTGTGTTCTGAGGCACTGGGGTGGGTCAGCCATGGCCCGCGCTGAGGAGCCCTGAGGGGTCTGGTGAGGACAAGCCATCTTTCACCTGTCAGATGAGCTGGGAAGGCTTCTGGGTGGGGGAGGGATATCGGAACCAGGGGGTGGGGAAGCAGGCTACCCAGTCCTGGGGTCTCTGTTCCATATGCCCCCACCCTGTCCCTTTGGCTTGCGGAGGGGGCCACAGCCACCCCTGCTCTCTCTTCCCCATGACCACTTGCATGGATTCCTCCCACCGATATTCTGTTCTGGGGTCTCTCCTCCTGGGTCCCCGGAACCTTTATCTAGTCTCTGGCCCAACCCCCACCCTGCTTCCGGATTCCGATCCCAGAATCACAGGGGTAGAGAGGTGGAGGGAAAGAGAGAGAGGCAGAGTCACTTGCCATCCCCCGTGCCGTGAGGAGAGGCACGACAAGCAAGGTGGGAAAGGATCTGCAGTTACTCACTGGGAGCCTGTCTGGCTTCCTGGCTGCCTGCCGCATCCCCGAAGTGGGGGCCACCCTTGCCACCCCCAGTCCTTCACGCACTTCTCTGAGTCACGGCTCATGGCTGGGGCTCAGGCACTCGGCGGGGGTGGCCAGGTTCTGTCACGGCGTGGCATGGGAAAGGCAGCTGGGGGCCACAGTGAGGTCTTGGCCAGCACGGCCAGGGCCAGGCAGGGACCTGGTCTGCGGAGTCACCCCTTCCAGAGCCATCGTGTGGCTGTGTGGGTACAGACAAACTCTGGCCTCCCTGGGCCTCTGAGTTGAAGGGACCCACCTCTGTAAGTCTTCACCCATTGAGTGGGGCGGGCAGCTCCAGGGAGATGAACTGCTTACCACTTCGCCAGGCTGCCCCTTTCTGGGGGCCAGCTCTTCCCGGGAGGAGCCACATCTTAAGTCCAAGCTCAGTTCCAAGGTGCGGTGGAAGGCAGGTATTTACAGAAGGAAAGTTCCCTTCCCCGCTCTGTACCAGCACACAGTGTACAGCATTCCTTCGTTCCTCACGAGCTGTCACCTACCCTGCCTGCCCCCTGGTGGGCACTGGGGACGTCACGGTGACTCAGTCACGGGCTGACCCTCCTGGGGACTCGGGCACTGCTTGAGCAGGGCCCTGAGGCTGGGTGAAGGGAGCAGAGGGGGTGGACATCTTCTGGTGGTGCCCCTAGGAAGAAAACAGAGTTCATGGGCATGCAGGCAATGGAGGGAGAACTGCCCTGACTTGACCAAGGGGAGATGAAGCCGAGGACCGGGACTGAAATGGCCCATGCCCTCCCTTGGTCCTGAGGCCGTGGCTTAGCGCGCTGGAGGGAGGGTGGGGAGAGGGAGGTGCGTCAGTTCAGGCGCGTCCCCCCCCCCCGTGAGCGGATGCTACAGTGGAGTTAGGATTGTGGAGGTTACTGCATGTCAGGGGAACCCTGTGGACAGTGAAGGAGGAGAGAGCAGGATCAGGCAGGGGGAACCTCAGACCCGATGCAGCTCTGATAGAGCCTCAGCACACGGATGTCTGGGCCGCCCTGCAGTGCTCGGTCAGGTCAGTCGGTGGTGGGCTGTCTGGGAAGAGCAGGGCCTCGGCTCCCTCAAAGGCTGCGGACCCTGAAGGTGCCACCTAGAGGCTGTCGGCTCACTGCATTCCTCACAGCGGAGCGGCAAGTTCTTTCTCTTGGGGCGAGACCCAGGTAATGCGTATGTGTGGCTGTCCCAGAGGGAAAGTGAGCCTCAGGGTCAGAGTGCAGTGGGAGGGGCCTCTCTCCCATTTACGCTCCAACAGCAGCACTCTCGGTCTAGCGCGCACTGTAGTGTGTGTGTGTGTGTGTGTAGGAAAGCGTGCAGGCGTGTGCGTCTGTGTGTGGGTGTGAGTCAGTACAGACACATCTGCTCCCAGCTGGGGGTCTGAGAGCAGGGCTTGGCCAGTGAGTGTTGGGGGAGGTGGAGTTAGGGGAGAGCTTCTGGGGCCCCAGGGCTGGAGAGAGTCTGAGTCTCGGAGAGGGTCCCAGGGACCCCAGACAGCACCAGGCCACCTCTCAGAGTTCATTCCTGGAGCAGTGGACTTCCTGGGGATAGCGGGACACTGTCCATCCCAGAGAGAGCTCAGACTGACCACACAGGAGATCCAAACCCACAAGCTTGCCTCCCTGACTCCCAGCCTTGGGTTCCTAAGCATCGGTGTGGAGCTGACCTTGGATGAGGTCCTCAGAGAGGAAGATAAGGGGCAAAACAGATATGGAGTTCAAGTAACATAATCGATGTTGTGGGAGTTTAGTGTGTTGTGTTGACATTTTAAGGCTACCAACTTAAAAATAATGGAAGTTTCTTTGTGACTCCCTAACAACTAGAAGGAGGAAAAAGAAAACTCCATCAATTTAATAAAAGATTGTACGTATGGGGGGATTAGAGACAAAAATATAGGATATGATAAAGAGAAACAAAACCAGATTTCAGGAATAATCACGAACAATAATCAATATAGTCAGTGTAAAAGAAGGACAATTCAAGGTGGGAAATTTGAGAGGAGTAGTTCATAATTTTGCTGTGGGCGGTGAATTAGTTATTAATAATAAGAAAGAGAGCAAAGAGAACTAGACATTGAGTTTGGCAAACTGGGGGCGTGAGCTTGTTTGCTTCATCTGGAAGCTACAGCTTCCCACCCCAGGGGATCATAGCACTGCTCCCGCCATTGGATTTTTGGGGGTGGCACGAGGGGAGGTGCTTGACCACAGAGGCTTGTCAGTGTAAGTAGGGGATGGCCCCATCAAAAAGTCCACAAAAACCTGGGAAGCGGATTGGTCATTTTGAAAAAGCATCAGGCTCATTCCAAACCCAAGCTAATACAATCCCAGGGGACAAAGAAGTGCTCGTGTTCTCTCTCTCTCTCTCTCTCTCTCACTGGCAGTTGGCCAAAGGGTCAGCTCCTAGGGGCTGTCCTCAAGTCCTAGCCACATGAACCACTCCCCAGGCAGCTCACAGTGTAGGTGTTTGCTTTTTTTTTTTTTTGCTGGGCTGGCAAAAGAGCATTTGCTGCAGCTCTGAACTTCTCTGACTTCTGTCTCTGAACTACAGACCCTCTTTACAAAGGACTTGCCTGGTTAGGTCAGGCCCACCCACACTCAAGGGGAGGTGTTATCCAGGGCATGCAGGCAGGGGCCAGGAGTCTTGGAGACCACTGCAGAACCTTGCCAACCACAGGGGGGTACACAGGAGGTCCTCAACTGCACTGAATATTTTATTTCGAGATAAAACTCTACAGCAAATATGGCATTATGTTAAGGTCTAATCAGGGTGATGAATAGAATGGGTATAGATTGGGTTTAGTTTTCTTATTCTTTTCTCCTGTATATTTGGAAATATTTCTCACATATATACACTTAACAGCAACAACAAAATCACCAGGAATCACCTCTCTAAGTAACTGTTGTATTAAAGACATCACAGTTGAAATGATAAATGATTTAGAAACAAATAACGATGAATACTAAAACCTGAGAGATATAGACATTATGGTAATGAGGGGCAGCATGAGTAGCTTTAATTATGTGTACTATGAACAAAACCTGACGGTCAGCGACATACGTTTACAACTCAATGTACTGGAGAAGCAACAACACAAACACATTTAAAGAAAGAGGGAGTTAGTAAAGATAAAAACCGAGAAAACTAATGAATGAAATAAATAAACTAACCCCTTCAGCAGTAATAGACAAAGGTTTAGCGAGTCTGATCAAGAATAAAGGTGGGAACACAAGACAAGGGACTTCGTTCCAAGAGCAGAGAATATGAAAAACTAAAAGTGCACTTTCTCTGTGCCATACACTCCAAGACCTAGGTGAAATGGATGCTTTTCTAGAGAAATATAAGTGATTATATTTACCCCTAAAACAACACCAGTCCTAGATAGTTTTATAGGAGAATTTTATATGGTGATTCCTATGCAATCAGACTGCTTGCGAACAGCAAAGAAGCTGGGACATTTCCCAAGATGTTCTGTGAGGTGTTACAATGCTGATTAAAACAAGGCAGGGTTAGCACAAGGAAAGGAAACTGTAATCGCATTTTATGATTCAAAGGATATTAATAAATAAGTAATTTAGTGAATCAATGACATAATTCAATGTTTAATGTCTCATTCACCATCGTATATAAACACAGAAGCAAAAATTGAGACAAGCCAGAGGCTGCTGAGGTGGTGGCCAAGGACTGGGGCAGGCCTGTCATCAGCTGATGGGATGCACACAGCCCTGCCAGCCATTGCCTGGTGAGCGGAGGGCACTAGGACCCAGGAGACGTGTGTGCAGAGTCTCACCTGGCAGGTGGGAGCTGAGACTGTAAGGGAGGACCCTGGCTGGTAACATGGGGGCTGCTCTGGACGAACCAGGTGTTTCTGGACAAACCAGGTGTTTCCAGAAGGGGACAGGCCCTGAGTCTGGGCTGCCAGGGACAGAGACGGTGAAGCCCAGCCCGGCCCT